TGTACATTATGCCACTTTTAAATGGTTACTTCCCATAAAATTAAACAATTTGACACAATCCTTTGATCTGAACTGTAATAATATATTAGCTCTTTAAGTAAACCTAAAGCTTAGTGTCAGCAGTTGTTATCTGGGAATAGCACACATTGGTATGTCGTGATTGACCAGTCAGAATGAAGTATTCCACAGATTTTTGCATAATTAGTTCTAATGAGAATGACCTCAAAACTGATCATACCTGACAAATGCAGGCCATATATATGAAATGATAAATGGAATCTAGTACGCAGAATGCAGAGTAAACCTTGTTTATTTTTCACTTTGGTTCATCCCTCTCTCTTATTCTCTCTCTCTGTGTTTTCTACTACACATCACTTTTCTCTCCTGCAGAGCTGTAATGTGATACATCAAGCTGTCTCCATCTCTGCACACTCTTCTGTAATGGATCCTCAAATAATGACACCATTGCTTTCACAAACCGCAGAAATGCATTTTCAGATCACACAATGTGTTTTTTTTTCTGCACAGTTCAGTGTGTCCTGTCTAATTTGACCAATAAAAAATCCTGTTCAATAAAATGATCATATCTTTATATCTCTATACAAAATAACATCTCTAAAATGTCATTCAGTGTAACAATGGTTTATATCTCAGAAAATATTGTTTGTTTATAGCATTTGCTGACAATTTTTTTTTTTTAATCTTTTGCTAACACCCTTCAGGGTCTGTAATGATTAATAGAATTTTCATTTTTGGGGGGAACTAATTCTTTAAGCTTTCCTTATTTCAAATCAAACCACTTTTATTGTCACATCATTAGCAACACGTGTGCTATGATGAGTGGAAAGCTTAGGTGCAGGCTACAGACAGTGCAAATAAAATGACAGTGCAAAGTACAGACAGTGCAAATACAACAACAGTGCAAAATACAACAGCATACTCCCCAAAAAAAATAAAAAAACAGGACAATGTATAATTGACAGCGATATGTACAATTATACGTAGACTTAATAAATAAAACATTAAGTCTACGTAAATTATTAATTATTATACGTAGACTTAATAACTAAAAAAGTTACACTTTAGCCTAAGTATCAATTCTCACTATTTACTAGTGGCTTATTATCTGCCTGTTATAAAGATATTGTCTGTTTATGGACCGTTTTTACATTTCTCGGCTGCGGGATTCATAATAAATGGGTAAACTTAAAGCACAGTGAATTGGAGAGCACAAGAAGTTATTTTATTGCATCCCTATATGCTCAAATAAGAAAAGCAAAACTCAACGATTGCGCTATCAGGACTTCAGAAAAACACCAAGTTTACTGTTGTGCTCACACTGAAAAAATGATGTTTGGTGTTTGTTCAATCTGGTCATTTAAAATGAGCTGAACAACACAACTCTTGAGTTTTTTGGGGGGGGGACACTTAATTGTTTTATGTTCAGTTCAGTCCAATTAAATTAGTTTAAATCTAATAAATTAACTTAATTCCTTTAGGTTGACCCAACAAATCGATTGTGTGGAACCCAGCATTTTATAGAGTGTATTACAAACACCTCACATAAGCGGTAATCTGTTTCTTTGTAATTTGATGCAATGTGATATAATACAACAGCTTTGTGAATGTACATAGGTTTAAAAAAAATATATCTGAATATTAAAAACTTTTAAGGATTTGAGATGTTAATGACCATTAAATGGGTTGAACTTTTTTGATCACCAGCCACTGTGGCTAGTAGTTTTTTAATGTTACTAGCCACTTGCATTTTTACTAGCCACAATTTTGTTGTTGGGAAAATATATTTTATATCCAAAAATTTTATTTTGGCATGCTAAAAATTACTATTTTTTATTTTTTGTCTTTGTCTACATGCCTCTTTAACTTTTTAGGACTCAACACTAAGTACTTACCTATTTTCTTTCTCTAGCCATACCAAACTAATTATTATTTGCTTGTCACAAAATTGAAATAATGTGTCCAAACAAGCTAAATAGCTGTACAAACAGTTTTTATTCAATAAAACTATACACAGTAGTTTATCCAGGCTAAAGGTCCAAGACCATCAGGTAACTATAGATAAATGGAGAGTTATCGCCTGTGTCCCACCGTGCGCCTGATCATCCTCTTTTCTCTTCCTGCTTTTTTTTTGCTTGCACGAACACTTATCAATCGTGCTGCTTCTTGATTCTAAAAGCACATTTGCACACATATTAACTAATGATCTTAAACAAAAATTCTAATCTTTAGGGACGAGGCAGCTCTGGCAATTTAAAAAATATTTTCAAGCAGCCAAAGTGGCTAATAGAGGTGTCTCTCCAACCTGCCACAGCTAAAGTCTACCCGCATTTGTCCAGTTGGCGGGTGTTAATGTAAAGCCCTGGTTGTAACCATCTTATGGAAAGAGTCCATTAGTACTTATAAAGTAACATATTCTGCATATTAAGTAAACATATTCTCCATGATATTATCCTAAATCCCTAATCCTACATAACACCTAAACCTAATTACTACCTTAATAACTATTAAAGTGTTAGTTCATCCAAAAAATGATGGTATTGATTGCTCACCCTCAGGTCATTCCAAACCCCGGGCACCTTCATTTATTCTCAGAACACAAATTAATATATTTTAGGTCTAATGTGAGTCTATACGCCTTTTGGTATTTTTCTGGACTTTGAACGAGCCCGCACCCTTGCTGCCTATAGATTCTATAGTCTATAGCAGGGGTGCTCAACCCTGTTCCTGGAGAGCTACCTTCCTGCAGATTTCAGTTGCTACCCATATCAACACACCTGAACCAATTAATTAGGACCTGAACACCACTTGATAATTACAGGCAGGTGTGTTTGATATGGGTAGCAACTGAAATCTGCAGGAAGGTAGCTCTCCAGGAACATGATTGAGCACCCCTGGTCTATAGGCTTTTAGATTTAATCTAAATGTCTTATTTTGTGTTCCAAAGGCAAACAAAGGTCTCAGAGGTTTGGAACGGCATGAGGGTGAGTAATTAATAACATAATTTTCATGACTGGGTAAACTAACACTTTAATAAGCAGCACATTAGGAATTTATTGAGGTAAAAGTCCTAATTAATGTTTATTAATAGAAAGAACTGTATATTAAAATAAAATGCGACCAAACAGATGTATAACACAGAGGGTAGTCAACTGCACATAGGTTACTAAATCCCAAGGTATCCATCTAATATGAGTTCAATTTACAGTTAAAGTCAGAATTACGGTATTAGCCCTGCTGTTTAATATAAATTCTTTTACATTATTCCCCGAAGATTTTTTTTCAAGACATTTCTAAACATAACAGTTTTACTAACTCATTTCTAATAACTGATTAATTTTATCTTTGCCATGATGACAGTGGCGACGCAGTGGTGCAGTAGGTAGTGCTGTCACCTCACAGCAAGAAGGTCGCTGGTTCGAGCCTCGGCTGGGTCAGTGGGCATTTCTGTGTGGAGTTTGCATGTTCTCCTTGCGTCCGTGTGGGTTTCCTCTAGGTGCTCCGCTTTCCCCCACAAGTCCAAAGAAATGCAGTACAGGTGAATTGAGTAGGCTAAATTGCCTGTAGCATAAGAGTGTGTATGAGTGTGTGTGGATGTTTCCCAGAGATGGGTTGTTGGAAGGATATCCTCTCCGTAAAAACGTGCTGGATAAGTTGGCGGTTCATTCCGCTGTGGCAACCCTGGATTAATAAAGGGACCAAGCCAAAAATGAACGAATAAATGAATGATGACTGTACATAATGTCTTACTAGATATTATTCAAGATACTAGTATTCAGCTTAAAGTGACATTTAAAGACTTAACTAGTTTAATTATGTTAACTAGGCAGGTTAATTAGGCAAGTCCTTTAGACAATCAAAAAAAAAAAAAATATATATATATATATATATATATATATATATATATATATATATATATATTCCTTGAGGGGGCTAATAATATTGACCTTAAATAGTTTTTTATTGAAATAAAAAACTGCTTTTATTCTAGCCAAAATAAAACATATAAGACTTTCTCCCAAAGAAAAAATATTTTCAGAATTACTGTGAAAATTTCCATTAAATACCACATTAGAAATATTTGAAAAAGAGTAAATATTTCACAGGAGGGCTGATACTTTTGCCTTTAACTGTATTTAACATTTAAAAAAATTAAATGCAGACACCAAAATGCAACATCTCATCTTTAAACCACAGCTAGACCTTATCTAGAACTTGTGCCTTGGAATACATCTATAAAAAAACTAATCACCAAAGCAGGTACAACAACAGCATCACAGTCTGCCTACACTTTCACACAGACCTGCTGCTGCTGTCTGGAGAGCCTATAGGATACTAATGTGGAGTGTTGCTAGGAGACCAGTCAGACTAACATCAGTCCCTCCCTCTGTCTCTCCTTGCTCTTTTGTTACAGCTGTCTCTCTCTCCCCCTCTCCCTCTTCCTCTCTTCCTCACTCTCTCCCTCTCTCTCTCTCTCTCTCTCAATCTGGAGGGAGGGTGGTATTACGTAGTGATGTAATGCACTTGCTAGGCTGTCGTTGGCACAGCCGAGCAGCACTGAGAGCTTGCGAGTGGAAAGACAAGCAGGAGAGATGGATGCAGACAGAGAGGGACAGCGTTACAGTCAGAGAAATGCTTAGAAAAGGAGCTCGCTTTTGTCTTGTTGGAGCAAACGGATTCAAATCACTGCAGTGTTTGGAGCTGCAGCAGGGACGACCTGCAACACCGTCGCTCTGTGTGTGTGTGTATGTGTGAATGCGTGTTTGTCTGGCTAGCACTTGCCAACTGCTGTATGAGTGTGTTTGTGGCTTTGCTGTGGGCTTGGCCTGCTCTCATCTCTATCTGCTGTTAATGTGACTCAGTCCTCCTTCCTGCTCTTTTTCTGCACCTGGTGTGTGTGTGTGTGTGTGTGTGTGTGTGTGTGTGTGTGTGTGTGTGTTTGCACCTGTCTTTCCTCTTCGATCGTCAATATGATGAGACAGGCACCTACGACTCGTAAGGTACAACAGATTGTTTACTACCTCTGTGGCATGCAAAATGCGGAGTGCTTTATTGTCTTGTCTTGGGTGTTTGTGTGATTCTACTGATTTTTTTCCCCTCTTCTTCTGTTGGTATGTCGGAGCATGATAGGTTGATTTTTAGAGTTAGTTTTATTTTTAAGTATTGAAAGGTTGATTTTAATTGATTTGTCTGTTTTATTTCATGTGGTCAAAAGTTTGTAACTTCAAATGTTGTACATTTAGGAGTATTTCTTAAATCGAATGAGTCCTGAACATAATTTATAAACAAAATAATAAATAAAAGAAATATATTTGCTTTCGCATTTGCTAGCATTATAGATATATCATTACAAATCAGTGCTAGCGTATTTTTAAATTTAGGTAACACTTTATTTTGATGGTCCATTTGGGTATTAGTAGATTGTGTGCTTAATATCTGTTGATACTGCTCCTTTAGCAGACATTTAACTGACTATAAGAAACTTTTTAAGTACATGTCAACTTACACTAACCCTAACCCCAACCTAACAGTGTACTTATAATCTAATGAGAATTAGTTGACATGTAGCTGCAATGTAACTTAAACTCAACAAACAGACCATCGAAATAAAGTGTGACCTGAATTTTTTGTGGATCATACAGTATAGGCGCACATAGAATGTATCTTTTGCTACCATTAGAGAGGGTCTGTAATTAATAACAGAATTTTCATTTTTAGAAGTTAGTAGTATCTTGAAAAATATGTAGTAAAATATTATGTACTGCCATCAAAGGCAGTACATAATAAATGAGTAGTTAAAACTGTTATGTGTAGAAACGTGCTGAAAAAATCTTCTTTTCATTTAACAGAACTTGGGGAAATATAAAAGAATTAAAATTTTAAAGGAGGGCTAATAATTTTGACTTTAAGTTCATTAGATGGATAAGTTAGGTTTTAGTAAGCTGGGTGCTATTCACTGCTCTTATTCATATACTTCTTTTGTCATGTTATATTTTAATGTACCGTTCCTACTTATTGATAAACCATCAGTTATGACTTTTTCACTTAATAAACTTGTAATTTGCTGCTTATTTAAGTGTTAGCTCACCAATCATAAAAAATGATGTTATTAATTACTCACCCTCATGTCGTTCTACATCTCTGAAGCCTTTGTTTGACTTTGGAACACAAATTAAGATATTAAGATTAAATCTGAGAGCTCTCTCATCCTCTATAGACAGCAATGGTTGTGCATTTTGAAGTATTTCTTAAATTAAGTCCTGAACATAATTTATAAAGAAAATAATCAATAAAAGAAATATGTTTGCAAAATGTATGCAGATTTCATGATTAAGTCTGTTCATTTACATAAATTTACATTTAAGTAAATGTATATAAATATTTTTTTATTCTGTTCTTATTTTATTCATTCATTCATTTATTTTCTTGTCGGCTTAGTCCCTTTATTAATCCGGGGTCGCCACAGCGGAATGAACCGCCAACTTATCCAGCACGTTTTTACGCAGCCGATGCCCTTCTAGCCGCAATCCATCTCCGGGAAACATCCACACACACTTATACTACACTACGGACAATTTAGTTTACCCAATTCACCTGTACCGCATGTCTTTGGACTGTGGGGGAAACCGGAGCACTCGGAGGAAACCCACGCGAATGCAGGGAGAACATGCAAACTCCACACAGAAACGGCAACTGAGCCGAGGCTCGAACCAGCGACCCAGCGACTTTCTTGCTGTGAGGCAACAGCACTACCTACTGCGCCACTGCGTCGCCGTTTTTATTTTATATTTCAGTAATATTATTGACTAATTTATGATTTATTTACAGTAAAGTTTAAAGAGTAATATTTTCTGTCTTTTAGTTGAAACACTTTACGAGAAACCTGTTTTGTTTACCAAACAAGTGGGTCTAATTGGATTTGTATTATATACCATTAATAACACCTAAAAAAATTGTATTTTATTTTATTTTATTTTATTTTATGGCATACGCTTTTAGTTACTACACTCATCATTCAGCATTCTGCACAGAAATGGCAAAAAATGTCCGCAGATTCTGTCTGGCCCTAATCATATTTAAACTTGAAGTGATGGGACTAAACCTTAAAGAAATTAAATTTTGTTGCAACATTTTTGCAAATTTCACCAAAAACAAAACAATACAAAAAAACGTCATGTTAAGTTTGAAAATGAAAAACTAAAATATTATTATATAATTTTATTTTTAATTCCTCTAATAATTTTGTTAAATGAAGTTGTTAGAGAACTTGATTTTTGCAGTATAATGCAATTGATTATATATATATATATATATATATATAATGGTTATGTAAATTATTTAAAATTATATAAAAATATATAAAATGGTTGCCACCTAGTCTATTCCTAGGAGTAACCTATTCATAGGAGTCACTGTCTGCGCCAGGCTTATATTTAATGCTTTTATACCTTAATACTAAATGAATACTTTTCTTTGACAAGGATGCACTAAATCAAACATGACTGTAAAAACGTTTATCATTTTAATTAAGATTTAAATATGCAGATATTCAACAACAATCTGTTTTCAGTAATAAAATATGTTTCTTGAGGTGCAAATCATCATAACCAAATGATATCTAAAGCAAGATGCAAGTAAAGAAGGGAGTAATAATGCTGAAAATTCACTTTTGGCATTCCAATACATTTATTTTTTATTTTTTCAAAAAAGTTTTAAAATAGAAAACATTTTTTTTTTAATGTGTAATAATATGTAACCATATAACCGTTTTTCATTTTTGCTATACTTTAAAATGCAGCCTGGTTAAGAATAAGAGACTTCTTCAAAACAAACCCTACTGTCTCCAAACCTTTGAGAAAAAACTGGCAAACAGATTCTGAATATTGCATGATTATGTATACTTGGTTGTCATAAAATCTTTGCTCAACAGTTCTTTTTCTGAGTTGTAACCATGCCTTGATCTGTACTGCAGTGTGTTGGTCATCTGTGTCTGCATGCTTGTATATTAATGAGTACTTCTTTGGCCCGTTTGGTGTCAGGCACGCTGCTTTGTGAACAGGCAGATCCACATACTGCGCCAGTGTTTCAATCTTTATGTGCCTAAAGAATATTTTTGATGTAAAGGATGAGACAGAGAGCAGACCTTATCAATATAATGAAGTTAAAATAAAGGATGGCTCATGGAATGAAAAATGAAGTTCTTGTTAAAGTGTCAGGCTTTTTCTGTTACTAATCTTTACTGTCTGTTTTCTTCTGCTTTGTTTCCCTTGTCTCTGCTTTCTTCATCTTTCTACTGAACCATGGTGGTCAAATCTGTCTTCTCTCTTCAGACCACCACCAGAAGGCCCAAGGTGAGCTCAGTCCTGCAGGTCATGTCTATTTGTGTATGTGTTTGGTAAATAGCTTATAAAGTTTCCAGTTTTTACAGTCAAAGCTAAGGCACATAGGTTAAATTTGAGCCTGCTGGTATGTGATGACTTTATAAAAAAAGCATCTTTATTAAACATTAGGAGGTTCAAATATACATGAATTAGTCCATTAGTCCCTTTATTAATCTGGGGTCGCCATAGCGGAATCAACCGCCAACTTATCCAGCATATGTTTTACGCAGCGGATGCCCTTCCAGCCGCAACACATCACTGGAAAACTCATTCACACTCATACACTATGGACAATTTAGCTTACCCAATTCACCTGTACTGCATGTCTTTGGACTGAGGGGGAAACCAGAGCACCCCATAGGACACCCACGCAAACGCAGGAAAAATATGCAAACTCCACACAGAAACGCCAACTGACCCAGCCGAGGCTCAAACCAGTGACCTTCTTGCTGTGAGGCGACAGCACTACCTACTACGCCACTGCGTCACCGAAATTCATTCATTAATTTTCCTTTGGCTTAGTCTTTGATTTATCAGAGGTTGCCACAGCAGAATGAACTGCCAATTATTTCAGCATATGTTTTATACAATGGATACCCTTCCAGTTGCAACACAGTATTGGGAAATAAATATAAAATTAATTAATTAAATATATATATATATATATATATATATATATATATATATATATATATATATATATATATATATATATATATATATATATATATATATATATATATAATGTTAAATTTTATCATAATGTTGGCTTTCTTTATTCTTTATTATATTGGATATTTGTCTTTGGCTTCACTGCATATTTACATATAACATCACTACATATGTCACATAAAAAATCAAAATAAATAACACAAATACAGTCAACATTATCACATTAAAAGCCATATAACACAATTAACCCTACTCATACTCAAATCCCAGTATTTAAAATCCTAATAGCAGTTGGCTTGAATGACATTCAATACACAGTTTCCTTACTCAATGTTACTTAAAAGGTCTTTTTGATGGCAAAAGCTGAATTATACTAAAGGATGTGAACAATCTTTGATAATGACATGTGCTTTCTATTTAACTCTTACTTGATCAATTTCATTCAATTGTCTTTGTGGTTTACCTACAGTTGCTCTAGCAGGTTTAACTACTTCACAGTTTCTGCTTTTCTTTAACTGGAAATCCATACCATGTTGTCATAGTAAAACATTTAGCCAACTTCTTAACTCAGCAATCTTATCCTTAACAAAATCTCCAAAACATGTGGCAGCACAGTGGCACAGTGGGTAGCAAAATCGTCTCATTGCAAGAAGGTCACTGGTTCGAGCCCTGGCTGGCTCAGTTGGCATTTCTGTGTGTGGAGTTTGCATGTTCTCCACGTGTTTGCATGGGTTTCCTCCGGGTACTCCATTGTCTCCCACAAGTCCAAAAACATGTATAAGTGAATTGGGTAAGCTAAATTGTCCATAGTGTATGTGTGTATGGATGTTTTTTTCCCCTGTGATAGGTTGCAGCTGGAAGGGCATCTGCTGTGTAAAACATATGCTGGATAAGTTCCACTGTGGCGACCCCTGATTAATAAAGGGACTAAGTCGAAAAGATAATGAATGCAGACTCACACCAAAGTGTTTTAACCTCCTAATAAGATAATCTCTGCATTTACAATTCCTATTCTGCATTTCCAACAAATATCAATACACTTTCAAAAAATGCTACTAGTAAATGTTTATGCATGAACAAATATAACAGCCAATGATATTGCTATATTCAAGCCTATATTTGCATATGTCATGTGTATACATTATCAGACTTTACAGTTATTTTGTGAAGGATATACTGGCCTGCAGCTTTGGGTATTAACTAATGTAATCTAGGAAATGAGATTCCAAGAATAGATTCCATTTTAAAATGCTGTAATCCGTTTGCTAATGGATTGCTTAATTATTTAATTCGCTTATTCAGAAAATGTGCTCTATTTCAAAACAATGGCTTTATATTATCTGTGTTTCAACAAACATATTAATGGTCACTCAAATTATTAAAGATTCCTAAACTGTATCGTGACCTAATTTACCTAATGAGTCTGACCCATTGGCTTGAAAGTCTTCCTGAGACTTTAGTTAAAGTTTCTATTGACCCTATTGGAGCCATTGGAGGTATTTGGCTCGAGACTTCTGCTCTCATTCACTTCCATTGATTATTATACGTTAAAGATGGCTCATTGTGCTGCTTGATTTTGCAAACTGATAGTTTCTTACTATATTATTCTACTTTTTATGTATAGTCATGAAACACACTTGTTTGTAGAGTGAGTAGTTTGACTGTTTTCTGCCGTTTATTATTCCTACACTGTAAAACCCAACAGTCAACTTTATCAAATTAAATGAGTGCAGTTAACTCAAAGTTCACTGAAAATTAATTCTACTCATTTAAAAAGTGTTTTGAACTCAGTGTTGAAGGTAATGAGTTAATTAAATACCTCATTACTTCAACTTAAATGGAGTAGTTTTACAGTACTATAGATTCAGTTTTTAGCTCAAATGGTTTGTAGCAATCGGTTTCCTCAGACGATTTGAGTTGCTTTAACTTATTGGGTTTTACAACACTCAGTTGGTTTGAGTTCTCTTCAATAATTGGGTTTTACTGTGCTGAAATTGCTTATTTTACTCAAATGGATTAAGTTCACAGTACTCATTAGGATTAGTTTTTGAAGTTTTAAAGTCTGCTTTAGAAACTTTTATTTTAGCATTTTTATCTACTTTCAACTGAAAAAAGATTTTTAAGTAGGATCTGAGCTTTCTTTTTGCACACCAACTAATAAGAGGAGCGTGGCGAAAATGATTGTGCCTGAAGCCATCAAACTGACACAGTCAGAGAAGGACCGCCACTCTAAATGCAAAAGCAAATATTCAGACTTTGATTTTTCTTTTCAGTGTATTAAATTGCACAGATGGTGGCTCAGTGGTTAGCCTTTTTGTCTCATAGCAAGAAGGTCACTGGTTTGAGCCATGCAGTAAATAAATACAGTATGTTCGTTTTGCTGTTTAGATGGTTTTTTTATTACTGTTCTTTCTGCAAAATGATACAAAAACTTGTATTTCATATCATAAGCATTTTCATATGATTACTATAAACTACAATCCCATTCAAATCTAAGTAATTAATTTCATCAAAAGCTATCTAAAAATAATCAAACGTACATTGTAAAAAATAACTTGTTGAGAAAACATAAAAAAATAAGGCAACTTGATGCAGAAAGAACTTTGAGTTGTCTCAACAACTGTTTTGTAGTTTTTCTTAGGAACATTTTTTTGTTCAGCTAACATAACTTGTTTATTTATGCAATGTTTATTATTGTATTTTACTAATAAAGATATTCTTGTTACATCAACTGATGCAACATTTACTGCTATTGAGTCAACTTATTTTTTTCTGTTTAGTGGATGATTTTTTTTTCAAATTAGCAAAACAAGTAGTTAGTTCTAGTTAGCATATCATCCTGTTTTAATGATTTTACTTAAAAATGAACACAAACTTACTACTTCATTCATTCATTTTCTTTTGGTTAGTCGCTTTATTAGAGTGACCACTGTGGAATGAACTGCCAACTTATTCAGCATATGTTTTATACAGCAGATGCTCTTCCAGCTGCAACCCAGTACTGGCAAACACCCATTCACACTCATACACCTCATGTCTGTGAACTTTGGCAGAAACCGGAACACCCAGAGAAAACCCACGTGAACACAGGGATGCCAACTGACCCAGCCAGGTCTCGAACCAGCAACCTTCTTGCTGTGAGGCGACTGTGCTACCAACTGCGCCATTGTGTTACCTCTTTTTCAAGCAAATGATAAACAAGCTTAGTTTTCGACCGTCACGTCAAGCATGTGCGAATTATTTAAATAACAACATTCCTTTTCATCTCAAAAATGTCCGTCCAGAAAACTCAGTTAAACATGTAGACATAACATTTTAGCGAATATGGTTGACATAACATATATTTTTATGCAATCAATTTTTATTCACAATTCTTAGTATATATATGACAGAAAAAGTACAGTGTGCTGAACAAATAGTGATTTTGTTTTTTACAGTGTCCAATCCCAAAAATATGAACTGATCTCATTGCGAAAACTTTATGTCAGTTTTTTTGTTGTAATGCCAGGAGGTTGAAAATATTATCACAGAAACAAACACAATGTGCAGACAATGCTGTAATCTCGTATATGTATACTTTTTATAACCAGACATGACAGTGAAATGCAACAAGTGACAGTGCTGTTTTCTTTTCTGACACACGGCTGTAGAAACAACAACATACAGAACAATCTATAACAATGATAATCTCAAGTACTGAGTTTGTGCTTCATTTAATGTTAACAGTGTGAGGTTGAAATTTGATTTAGGTTTAAAGCTATTCTGTAGTGATACTGAAAGCAACAATGAATAATTTACCTCAGATCCAGAAATGAAAGGAACCATAAAGGTTAAAACTTTGACCTCTGTTAACAAACAAGTGTATTACAGGATAAAGATTGTATCACAGTCACCCAGTAGCCTATGCATTTTTAATAAGGTTAAAATGCTCTCATTTCCCAACCTTTCCGTACGCTCATCTGATTCGTTTTTTTTTAAAGATTATTATGTCACGTCTCATAACCCTGTCACATCTGACGTGAACAGACTAATTGATTGTTGCTGAAATCTCATCCCATCACATCTGGTCGGGTGTATTCTTACAGTGAATTCTGGCTAAATTGGTCCCAGTGGGGAGGGTTGCAATATCGTTTGCTGTTTTTGAAGCGTGAGTGAGCTCTTGGTCTGTGTTTCAGCAAACGCGGGCCGGTGTAGGGGTGAAGGTGGGCTCTGGATCGGCTTCTGCAGGAGAGATGAGCAGCAGTGAACCCAGCACTCCTGCACAAACACCACTGGCTGCTCCAGTTATTCCTTCACCTGTGGGAGCGCTGCCCTCGCCTGGAGCTCCTCCAATCCCGGGACCCAGCAAGGTCAAACATGGTTATAGACGCTAATATAATTTCCATTTTTGTTGCAGTATTGTTTTGTGTTTTATTTTTAAACTAGTATGTGCTACAGTGTGTTGCCAAGTATTCACTTATGCATCTTTTGGATTTTGTGAAAAGCTACAGACCTGCTTATTGATAGCAAGAGGGTTTCCCTATAATTTTGTGTGCATTTAAGGAACACTGCTATTCAGAAGTGTGGGATTTATTATGGGAAGGCGAAGAACATGTCACACACACTGTGCTAATTCAGAGTGCTTTACATTAACAAGAAGATCAAAAGAATTATAAAATGACCATCAAAGTCCCTTTAAGGCAAGTCATTTCACTCGGCGGCCATCTTTAAAAAATCCTCACGGGCAGTATGCTCAGGCATTCTGTCTGAATGGGGAAACATCAAATTCTCCAAAACTGTTCAAGTGGTGCTCGCTGCAGAGCCATTTGAGGAGAGCTGAGCTCCAGCGAGGGGGAGCTTAAGCTTGAGCTCCACCTTTTTTGCACTTCTTCTACGAGTGATGTCACTGGGGGTAGGGTTAGGGGTGGGGTTGGTGTACGCATTAAAACAGCTTACAGGAGGAGGAGCGACAGCTCATGCTCCCCCTCGCTGGAGCTCAGCTCTCCTCAAATGGCTCTGCAGCGAGCACCCTCTCAAACTGTTTGCCAAGCTTATGATTACATTACATATTTGAAATCACCAATCAAATTAAACAACTGTCTCATAAGTTTCATTTCTAAATGTTCGAATTAAACAAAATCAGTGTTTTTTCAGGTTGATGAGCAGTGTTGGGCAAGCTTCTTGAAAAATGAAGTGAGCTAAGCTATTAGCTACTCTACTTAAAGAGCCCATATTATACATGAAATAAGGTCATATCTTGGTTGTAAGGGTCTCCAACAACAGTATAATATGCATGCAAGGTCAAAAAACACTTTCATGGTCTTATAATCTGCATTTATTTTTACCTAATTATCCCAGCGACTCCTGTATGAATCGTCCAGTGATTCATTTGTTCCCAAACCCCTCCTTAGCGCGAAGCTAATCTGCGCTGATTGGACCGATGACAGTCTGTCGCGATTGGTCGACTGCCTTCAGTCAGAGAGGGAAATGGCCAATAGCTAATCAGCAATTTAAAAAGTAATCACAGTTCATACACGCTCGATAGTGTAGGCGTGGATTTTAGCTGCCACACTATGGCGAGTGGATAGTGCCACGGATAACCGAACGAAGGAGACAGTCGTGTACTCGCCATACCACACACACACAAAAACACACACACACCTCCGGATGACAACGCTCCCGCTTCAGCCCGCACCCGCCAGGTTTTAGCCTGAGAACCCGCTCCGTTTTCTGCCCGCCGCGCCCGGTCCCGCTAGAGCGGAGAACACAACCAAATATCACCCAGTATACAGTCCAGACAGCCAAGCTGTCAGTATAAAAACACACACACAGCACAAAGTACACAAAGCTCGTTCGTTCGTTCGCTCTCTCTCTCGCTCTCTCTCTCTCTCTCTCTCTCTCTCCCCGCGCCAGATTTCTGCGGCGCGGGAATACATTTCCGAATAAATCGCGGGAGCAGAACTCTAGCACGGAGCTCCATAAACAAACAGCACGCGTCGCGTTTTTAACGTGACTTTGCACGCGATAAGATAATATATCCAGTTAACCTGATACAGTACACGCGGTTACAAGTAACAAATCACAACTAAATACATTTGCAAGCTAGAGTAAACGAGGCAACAACTTTAACCGCACGTACTTACACTTGAGAAATGTAGGAAGAAACCCATCCTGACGTCCATCAGTTACTCTTTACTGATCCTTCCTTTAACAAACTCAGATGAAGTATTCTTTGTAGCATGTAGCTTCCAGAAGTTTCCAACTGCTTGGTTATAATGCTGATGTTTCATCTTTGGGTAGAGACTCAATATAATATCCATCTGCAGTGTGACTTCAATCGACCGGCATGTTTGTGTGCGTGTGTTTGTGGGTGTGCGTGTGTTTGTGGGTGTGTGTGTGTGTGTGTCTGGGTTACTGCGTCAGAGGGCGGGGCCTCAGGTTTGAAATCTCCCGGGTTTGCGCGTGCACGTGAAAAACTTTGTTTCGTTCGTACGTCATGGCGAAACACCTAATGAGTCGGTATCAAGGCGACTCGTTTGAAGCACTATGATTCGACTCTTTTATAGATGAATCAACAGTTTTAAACACTGTATTCTTACAGATTTAAGCCTTAGCTGGATACTTCACTTCACTTAGAGCTGTGTTACACACTACATGGAGGGGAATTTTCAAAAACCCATAATATGGGCTCTTTAAAATGTAGCTTAACTACACTAAAAGCTACCCCCTGGAAAATGTAGCAAGCTAAGCTAAAAGCTACATGGCAAAATAGCTTAGCTACGTCTAAGCTATTTTTAAAATTTTTATTTTTAAATCGAAGCAACTTAAATCCAAGTCAATCATATCTTAGTGATCAATAAAACTGTTAATGAAACATATGAGGCATAATAGTTAAGTAATTTACTATAAATAATATGCTGTACTAAACAGAAACACATTATAGTATATAACAGCTAAAAAAAAAGCTAATAAAACCAGGTGTTGCACATTAAAAATACTATAGTCATTTATAGTTAAGAGAAATAATTTGGAATAAGCATTATAGTGTGTTTGCGCACGCACACACACACACACACACACACACACACACACACACACACACACACACACACACACACACACACACACACACACACACACACACACACACACACACACACACAGAAAACTCAGAATTATTTGCCCCTGAATTATTGGCCCCCTTGTTTAATTTTTTCCCCAATATCTGTGTAACGGAGAGATTTTTTCAACATGTTTCTAAACATAATAGTTTTAGTAACTAATTTCTAATAATAGATATTAATATAGATATATTATATATAATATATTAATATAGATATTTTTTCCAGATACTTCTATACATCTTAAAGTTACATTTAAAGGCTTAACTAGGTTAATTAGGTTAACTAGGCAGGTTGGGGTAATTAGGCAAGTTATTGTATAATGAAGGTTTTTTCTGTAGACAGTCGAAAACAAATTTGCTTAGGGGCTAATAATTTTGACCTTAAAATGGCTTTTAAAAAAATAAAAACTGCTTTTATTCTAGCCGAAATAAAACAAATAAGACTTTCTCCAGAAGAAAAAAATATTATCAGACATAAAGTGAAAATTTCCTTGCTCTGTTAAACATCATTTGATGAAAGCGATCATGCGTGTTAAATCTATAGGGAGTCCCTCTGGCTGCCCTGTCCTGCGCGCGTTGTGTGTGTGTATGGGTGTGTGTGTCTGTCTGTGTGTGTGTCTGTGTCAGGTTCGTGCACAGAGCACAGACCCTCACAGGGGCAGGTGCTCAACGCGATCGCAAAGTGAAGAGCAAGTGCCTCCTAAGAGGGGAACCTCAGCCAATGAGGGCAGAAGGGCAGTGGCTCTAGCCACCGGGCCACCCCCCTGTGCAAGGCCCTGGTCTGTGTGTCTGTGTGTGCGTGCGTGTGCACGTGCGTGCATTTCTTAGCAACAAACCTGCCTAAACGCCGTTGTCCGTAGCCACTAAATCAAAAAGTTACAAAATGCCATGAGATTGCGATGTACTCTCAGCTCACATCATTTAAGAGAAAAGGTCCACATCGTCCCCCGATAATGTCAACTGACTGGACTGTCTTAGCAACTGGATGAATGTAAGGAAAATTATTTCTACTTTATAATTAATGTTCTCAATTCACAGCAATAGAACTTTACAATGAGTACAAATGTTTGTATTCAATACTTTATTATTATTATAATTTTCCAATTTCCATATCTGCAATGCCTGTATTTTGGCATTTTTTGCAGTCTACTTAGAATCCAACTTGGAAATCAATGTTTTCTTTATTGGCATTGATTGTTTTAAAATTCAAATGGCATTGACATGCCTGTGTTTTAATTTCTGTAATAAATATGGCTGTCAAGCCAGGATCTTGATGGTTTAGTGTGGGTTTGTTGTTTACATGAAGAAATTTGTGTTACAAGTTAAACTAAAATTCTAATAAACAATTATATTTTGAATTTAAATACTGTAGTTTTTGTCTTGCGTTTACATAAATTTTTGATTTGAATAGCCAAAATTACAAGTCTTTTAAATGTGATTAATCGCGATTAATTAAAAAAAAAGTGTGATTAATTAGTTAATTTTTTTATCAATTGACAGCACAAAAAATATTAATTATGTCATAGTGTCATAAAAATTATTCTATATTAACGTGCGTATCTGCAGCTGTATCCTATCTAGACTTTACAAGAGAACTGTCAGTCTTTAACGATTGGTGATTGTACTAGTGTACTCCTGTACTAGTAGGCGGGGCATCATTCACCATATTGACCATTACACTTTTCCCCATTCAAAACTATACGAGTGACACGTCTTGTGTATTCTGTATAGTCTTTATCATCACACAAGTTTAAGAAATAAAAACAACAAATAATTAAAATCATTAACAGAACAGATAAGTTTAAAAGGAATATATTGTGCTACCCACAACACCACTCTGCTGCCCAATATTATTACATTTACAATAAATCATTTCTATCCTAATATACTTTTAAACGCAATGAAATCAATTAAATTGATTAAAGATTAATAAAATTTACTCCAGTGTTCATTATCATATAATTTTTCAGAAATCATTTTAATATGTTGATTTGAGATGTTTTGCTAAATGTTTAAAAAAAACTTAAAAAAATCTAATCTGTTTGAGCGATTTATCGACTAGCAAAACATTAACAAAATGGCATCCCTTGTGCTCCAATTTAACTCACTTGTTTTCATTCACTCCTTCAAATGGACTATATTAGGGAATAATAAATGAGAGCATGGGGTGAATTCGGATACAGCATATTTCTTTAATTACGGAGCAATAAACAACACAAATTTCAGATATTGATGTAATCGTGAGAGCTCTTCTTGTTCCTGTTCACAATCTTTGCCTGTCTGCCTTCATTATCCTGCAGGAAGAGGAGTCTCTGCGCGCGCTGGTGAAGGATCTGGAGGAGAAGCTGGAGACGCTGAAGATGAAGAGGACAGAAGACAAGGCGAAGCTGAAGGAGCTCGAGAAGCACAAGATTCAGCTGGAGCAGCTGCAGGAGTGGAAGAGCAAGATGCAGGAACAGCAGAACGAGCTGCAGAAACAACTCAAAGAGGCCAAGAGGGTAACAACTAGACTTTTACTCTATAGTAGTAGCCAACAGTACACTCAATAACCATCTTAGGTACACATGATTGATCATATTTTTCCTTTAGAATTGCCTTAATTATTTCTGGCACGGATTCAAGAAGGTGCCAGAAACATTCCTCTGAGATTTTAGTCCATATTGACATGTTAAACGCACAATATATAAGATATTCTCAATAAAATATCCAAAAACCAGTTGAACAGGCTTTTATATTATGCTGACTTACGTACTTACATTATCTTAATTGTTTTGAGGAATGTTCAAATACAAAGAAATAAGCTATTTTTACTAATGATATGGACCATGTGCTGTGTTACCATGCTAATGAGATTACACCCTCTGTGTCTGATTTTTAGAGAAAACAGGAAAACACCAAAGAAGCGGTGGACTGTGGCATAATAAAAGCTGATCTGCTTACATGCTGTGCCATGTTTTTCTCTTATCAGCAATTACTTCAGAGTTCTCTTTCTACTTTGGTGGCTAACGAATGTGTCTTAGCTTCTAAAGAGGTTTGACGCAGCTTTTAAGAATCAGTTTTAAAAAGAGCAGCCCGAGGTCCACATGATGCAATATTATAAACGTGATGTAAATACAGACCTATTAGACAAAGGTAAACAATATGTGTTTCATACGTTAATGCTCAGTTAAACGTGCCACTAATAAAGTGTCTGGTGAATGTATAGCATTATAAATATGGAGACTGATGGCCTGTCATGTACTGTAGGAAGCTAAAGAAGCTCTTGAAGCTAAAGAGCGTTACATGGAGGAGATGGCAGATACAGCAGATGCCATTGAAATGGCCACACTGGATAAAGAGATGGCTGAAGAGAGAGCCGAGTCACTGCAGCTTGAAGCCGACGCGCTCAAAGAGAGAGTGGACGAGCTCACCATGGACTTGGAGATACTGAAACATGAGATAGAGGAGAAAGGTACAGACAAATCTGTGCCTACAATACCAGTTAATGCAGTATACTGGGTGGTTTAGGGTAGTTTGTCCTTTATTCCTGTGACGACAGATAGAATGCATCTATTCAATCAAAAATACAGTCAAAACAGTTGCTTTCGATTCAAAATTTATTTATGAAACCTTTTAAAATATTTTTTGATTCTTTTATTGAATTTTGACCCAATTTTTTTTAATGATATACAGTTGAAGGCAACATTTTTAGCCCTTCTGTAAGATTTTAATACTTTTTCAAATATTTCCTAAGTGCTGTTTACAGAGTAAAACATTTTAACACATTTTTATAGCTTTAATGTAACTAATTTCTAATAATTTATTTTGTCTTTGCCATGGTGACAGTACATAATATTTAATGTATTTTGCAATATACTAGTAATCAGCCAATTCTAATAGGCTAATAATTCTTAAAAATGATTTTGATAAATAAATAAAAACTGCTTTTATTCCAGGCAAACAAAAAAAATAAGACTTTCTTCAGTGGTAAGAAATAGAAGGAAATAGTTTGCTTGCTTTGTTAAACATTGGTAAATATATATTTACATTGATAAATATAAAAAAATAATAATAACAGAAATAACATAAAATAATGATATCTGTCACGAAGGATGCTGGACAACAGAGATAAAGGATCTATGTGCAGTTTATTTTAAGCTTAGTCAAACAGGCATAGGTCAGAACAGGAACAAACAGGAGCATAAAGGTAAGTCGAAGAGTGTTGTTATAAACAGGCAGACAGTTAGGGCTGCGTTTCCCAAATAACGACATAACCTGCGGCTGAACTATCACAGTACGATGCATCGTTTGGGAAAATAACGCTGTAGTGACAAGTGTTTCCAAAAACACATAGTTTCTCTGCCACAGATCCATCGTTTAAACCACATTAGTTAGAACGTAAAATGTCCATAATGATGCTCTAAACAGGGTGAAGTAACAACTTCTTTACAGAAAAAAAACATAATTTTTTGTGCAAATGATATTGTTTTACGCGATCACACATTTAAAAAAAAATTGTTTTAGTAAAAATATGCACTCGTTTTTCATATTAACTTAAAATATATAAACAACAAATATAGGACCTATGTTTCCTTTACTTTACTGAGAATTTTCCATATAAAAATCACTTAGCTAACACGTTTTCTAATCTCATATATAAATCATTAATGGTTGTAAACCTAATTTACAGTAAGCTATTTATTAAGAAAGGAAAAAAAATAACTTAATATAATAATAATAATAATAATAATAATAATAATTATTATTATTATTATTATTATTATTATTATTATTATAATTATTATTATTATTAATATTATTTAAGTGGGATATTGTTGTTTATTTATTTTTGAATTTGTTATCTTTGTTTTGAAAAGTCTACTTTTACAATTTGACACATTCAAAACAAGGCAGAAATGTTCTAACCAACAGGGCCAGACACGTTACAGATACATGTCTTAATAAATAAACTATTATTAGTTATTAAGTTAAAACCATTAACGTATGATATATATATATATATATATATATATATTTTTTTTTTTTTTTTTTTTTTTTTTTTTTTTTTGGTTGTACAAGCTTTAGAGACATTATGTAAATTCTGCTTTTAAATAATAATCCCCTCTAGCTTTCGTCATGAGCCACGGCCGCGTTTAAAATGGCAAAAATGTTTTCAAGTGCACTACGAAGTGAACTGTCAACATGATTATCGCTAAATCTGAACTGTAAAAATACTTTGAAAAGAAATAACACCTAAGAGAGATAACTTTAATTGTTCTTTTATAAATCATTCCAAGTTTAAATGTTGGAACACTAAATAAATAGGGCATAGGGGGGATAACGAGGAATAGAACACAACCATTAACTATGCGTCTAACCACAGCTCTAGAGGTGTAGTTGTAAGCTTTCTAGTTTGCGATGTGGTTTGCGAATGTTCGTTTGAACAATAGATTTGGGAAACGCCAAATCAACAAACTATCTTTGTAACGACGGAACTTGCGACCTTAGTTTGCTAACAAACAGAGAAATATGCATTGCATTGCTTCACAAGGAAAACAAGACTCCGCAATGAGAGTGTGTGTGTGAGGGGTGAATATAAAGTCCAGCTAATCAGTTTGTGATGAGTTACCAGCTGCGTGTGTAATCAGGGAATGAGGAACTGGTGTGCTTGAGGTACAAGATGTTATTTGTAGTCCAGTTCAGTGACAGATCTGTAGTTTTCCAGTGATCTGCAAGGATTAGACCATTGTTGATCGTGCCAATAATTTCGTCTTGAACTGTATATGTTTTATGTACAATGTATTGTTGTTATTACTTTATTATATGCACCATTTATTTCAATCAGTCGAAATGCTGTCAAACAGCAAACCATTTTAAATTGTATGTATACCAGGTCTGGGCCGCAATAACATGAAAAAAGTCATTGTTGTTGATTATTGCTCTTAATATTAGGATAGTAATTCTTCAGGTTGATCATTAGAATACATTTAAAACATTTTTGTGTTTGAAAGAATAACACGTCAGACAGAATATATTGCTTACCTTAGCTAAAGCTAGATTAAATCTAAACACTTGGATTAAATGATTTAAATGTCTAAATGTAATGTAGCAAATTCACACTCTTGACTTATTTTTACATGTCACTGTAATCACTCACTCACTGTCATAACACTAGCCACATCACTGTAAAAACATTAGTTTTAATTGCTGATAAATTTGAAAACTGAAGTGTAGCACATCAATATCAACAATATGTGCTTATTAATCTTTAAAAACTGTGTCTGCAGGTTCAGACGGAGCAGCGTCTAGTTATCATGTGAAGCAGCTGGAGGAGCAGAACGCTCGACTGAAGGAGGCGCTGGTGAGGTGAGTGTGTGTGTATGTGTGTGTGTTCATTCCTCCTGTGTTTGTGCTTTTTGTGTTATTGTGAAGATCATCACTACGGCTGCTCTGTGCATTAGGATGCGTGACTTGTCGGCATCAGAGAAACAAGAGCATGGAAAGCAACAGAAACTGATGGAGAAGAAGAATTTCGAGCTGGATGCGCTAAGATGCCACAAAGAGAAACTTCAGGAGGAGATGAAGATGGCTGAGAAAACCATTGATGAGCTCAAAGAGCAGGTCCACAACATGCATATATATATTTATATATTAATTCACTAATGCATTATTTAGAAAAATTGTGAAAGTAAATTTTTAATACCTTACTTTAACAAAGGTAGTAGAGCGCAACAAATGATTTGAACATTATGTTGACTAACATTAACTAATTATAAAGTGTTACCACTTAATTAGAGTTTAACATGAGCTCAACATATGTGATTGCAACATGTGGGGATATCTTTGAACTTATATACACATTTTGCACCAAGGTACAAAATAATAATATGGCACTTATTATTAAGCAATTATTAAGTAAAAGCAAGGCTTTATTATATGGTACTTTATTGTACTTCAAAGAATATTATATATTATTATGTGTAAAAACATGATATTTAACATTACATTTTTGATTGTTTTACCTTGGCTTCATGCCTAATGACGATAGGGTATATGCCGAGCTAGTGCTGTTCCCATGCTGGTACACTTCCGGTGACTTGTTATTGTGAACTTTTTACCATTTTATACGGTTCCTTATACAGCATCGATGTTGTAATGTCATTAAAATACATTCAGTTAAATAAACTTTAGCATTTATTAAGTTGCTCAAGTGTAAAACGAGACAAAAAGCTGTTTACTCGCATGCGCCCATCAGAATCGGCAGGCTAACGCAGAAGCTCCATTGAATATACTGGGGTAAAATAAATGCTTATATTATAAAGATATGGCAGGGGAAATGTAATTTAATGCAGTGCTTCTTGTACAATCTGAGACCCACTTTAAATCGGATATCACTCAGCTAGTGGAGATCGCAGATATTTAAAGAAAAGAGACCTTAAACCCACCGGATTTTGCATTGGCATTCAATTCGCCGGAAGCGCTTAACCCAGGTTACTGGCAAATTAAAAGTCCTATTAGCATGCTTCGGCATATACACCATTGGCCTAACAGCAAGAAGGTCGCTGGTTCGAGCCCCAGCTGGGTTAGTTGGCATTTCTGTGTGGAGTTTGCATGTTCTCCCCATGTTCGGGTGAGCTTCCTCCAGGTGCTTCGGTTTCCCCCCAGTCCAAAAACATGTGGTATAGGTCAATTGGGTAAGCTAAATTGTCCATAGTGTATGTGTGTATGAACGAGTGTGTATGGATGTTTCCCAGTGATGGATTGCAGCTGGAATGGCATCCACTGTGTAAAACATATGCCGGATAAGTTGGTGGCGACCCTTGAATAATAAAGGGACTAAGCAAAAAAAAAATAATGAACGAATGAATGTACCATAGTAGGGTATCACGGTGGTGCAGTGAGTAGCACAATTGCCTCACAGCAATAAGGTCACTGGTTCAAGCCCCAGCTGGGATCTCCCCGTGTTCGCTTGGGTTTCCTCCGGATGCTCCGATTTCCCCAAAAATCCAAAGAAATACGCTATAGGTAAATTGAATAAATTAAATTGGCCGTATTGTATGTGAATGCAAGTGTATGGGTGTTTCCCAGTGTTGGGTTATAGCTGGAAGGGTATGCGCTGAGTAAAATATTTGCTGGAAAAGTTGACAGACCCTAGATTAATAAAGGGACTAAGCCGAAAAGAAAATGAATGAATAAATGAATGTACCATAGTACCATACTTGTTTCTAAATATAATAATTATTGTTTAATTATTTTCAAATTATACTTAATCATTATTCATTCGTTCATTCATTTTCGGCTTAGTCCCTTTATTAATCCGGAGTCGCCACAGCGGAATGAACCACCAACTTATCCAGCACGTTTTTACGCAGTGGATGCCCTTCCTGCCGCAGCCCATCTCTGCGAAACATCCACATACGCTCATACACTACGGACAGTTTAGCTTACCCAATTCACCTATAGCGCATGTCTTTGGAAAAAGAAACGCCAACTGACCCAGCCGATGCTTGAACGCCACTTAATCATCATATTTTTTTCAAAATGTAATTATTTGCTTTTAATATGCAAATATTAGGTGTGTGCTGATGACTATGGAAGCATATCAGTTAGAAAATTAATTTTGAAATGCCAATTCAATATTCAAAATGGGAATGTATTTCTTTATTTAAACTTGGATTCTCGATGTTAGTAACGTTCGGTACAAAGTGAAAATTATTATTAAATGATAGAATTTACATTTATAACCACAGTTTAAAAATGCAAGCTACATACTAATTCTAATGCTTTATGAGTTGCAAACCTAATTTGATGTTATAATTTACAAATTGAGTTGGATGAGTTTAATGCACAAAAAAAAAAAAGTAGCAGTATCATTTGCCCTAAATTCATAAGATTGCATTTTCATCATTATACTGTAGGATGTTTGTAACAGAATTCCATGTGTATTTCATAATACATTTCGAGCCAAAGTTATATCAAAAAGATATTTTGAATGCATTGACACTAGCACTTGAGATGTTTTAGAGATCCATTCTCCATTAATACATTATATTTTATAGATGACCACTATATTATATGGGTGTGTATGTGACAGGTGGATGCGTCTCTCGGAGCAGAGGAGATGGTGGAGATGCTGACGGAGCGTAATCTGGACCTGGAGGAGAAAGTGCGCGAGCTCAGAGAAACGGTCGCTGATCTGGTAAGGGATGGAAGAGTGTGTAGAAATGTGATCCTGAGTTTGTGATGCATGTGTGAGACTTAAATATTTATGTTGAGCACTAATTGTGTCATTTTCTGATGCAGGAAGCCATCAATGAGATGAACGACGAGCTCCAGGAGAACGCCAGAGAGACAGAGCTGGAGCTCAGAGAGCAGCTGGATCTGGGCGCTGCTGGCGTCAGGGAGGCGGAGAAGAGGGTGGAGGCGGCACAGGAAACTGTGGCAGACTATCAGCAGACCATCCAGAAATACAGAGAGCTCACAGCAAATCTGCAGGTGCTGCTGTACTACACCACACACAAAACAAAACATTGCTCACATTGTTATACTTAAAGGGGTCGTCCAGAGTGTATTTTTACGGCTTTGGTTGTGTTTATGGGGTGCAAAGCAATCTGTGCTCATTCTTCAATTGTAGAAAGTCACATTATTTTTTCATTTATCCTACTTTGATTATATACAGCTACTCTGCTAACATGAAAGCTACTGTCATATTTCCTAGTTCCCTTCGAAGACCTGCTCCCAAAAGGCTCTGATTAGTCAGCTAACATAGGCCCCGTTTACACTGTTAGGTCTTGATGCCCAATTCCGATTTGTTGCCTATATCTGATTTTTTTTGCCTGTCTGTTTACACGTTGTTTTAATTGTGACCCATATCCAATTCATGTGTTTACACTTGCCATACAAATTATGATGTCGCGCATGCATAAAGGCGAGTTTTAGCATCTGTGCCACACTAGCCACAATGGAAGAAATTGTCTTGTTTTTAGCTCTGCGAAATATGTGAAGTGTAGGATAAGCGGTAAATGGTTCAGTCCAGATTTACCCCCACGCAGTTTATGTAATGGTATAGCCCTAATGTATGTGTGTAGTTGAAGATGTAGCCCTTGCCTGTTGCGCACTGGTGTTAGAGAGAATAAAGTTGTTCTATGTGTAGCCCGCAGTGCGTGTATTAATATCGACAAAAAAACAAAAACAAAAAAAACACGAAGTTCGCCCAACTTTAAAATGATTTTGAGGCACCAATGGTTTATATATGGTGTCCTCCAGCATTCAGAGGAATATGTGGGTATGAGAGATATCTCAGGTCTGGTGGGAGCGAGTTGTGTCGACTGACCACTTTCCTCCATGTTTCCTCTGTTGTTGTTGTTTACCACGTTGGCATCTCCACACATGCTCTTTCTTCTATGTCATTAAACCTTAATAAATCCGATCTGCCTGTTTACATGACAGTCGCATTGTCACATATACGATTTATATCTGATTTACTTCCTCGTATGAAGGAGGCCTGAAACCAATCTATGAATATCCAAATGCATGTGTTTTTTACGTGTTTACACGGCCATAGAACAGATCCAATCTTTCACATATGAGCAAAAAATCGGAATTGGGTCACATTTAATTGGCAGTGTTAATGGGACCATAATGTGCTGTGATTCACACATCTGCTTCACATCACGAGGAAGCGTCTCTGTTATAACCAACACAATCTCATGGCAATTCATAACTTTTTGATTTAGTGGCTAATTCGTTTGAATTCTTACGATCTTATTTGTACAATTTAGTACGATTTGCTCATTACCCAATGATGGTTGGCTTTAGGGGTGGGGTTACGTGTCACGCTTCCTTTTTAAATCGTGCAATTTTGTACGACTGAACTCGTGAAGTTTATTTATAAACTAATTTCGAGAAGATCACGTGCTTATAATTGCTTGCAGCCGGTCCCGCATTATTCAATTCATGATTTACCAATCAAATGATTCCTAAGCCACTATATATAGCCTAAGTTCCATATAACAGCCAGCTTCGTTTTGAAGAATTCCACCCCTACTCCTCTTCCTTTTCTAGATGGGTGGCCCAGTGGTTAGCCCTTTTGCCTCATAGCAAGAACATCACTGGTTCTAATCCTTACCAATCCAGCCGACGTTTCTGTGTATACTGTAGTTTACATGTTCTCCCCGTGGTTTCCCCCAGGATCCCTGGTTTGGATGAGGTTGGAAGAGGTGTGCCTGAGCGCAATTCATTTGGGCTGAGAAGTCAGCATTCCTTTTTGATCTTTTTTATTTGACTTTTTTGAAACATTCTATAAGTTTCAGAACTCAAACCTTTGAGGTTTTTAGGAAAATGATTACATTTACAAACTATTAGCCAATCCTTCTGAGTCTAACATGCTCTTACAGTGTTTTAGGTGTGGTTCCGATGAGGGTGGTTAAAACAGGACAGAAAATAGTCTATTAGGTCAAAATGGTGATCTGTTTTTATGTAAAAGTTTTGATCAAATTAAAAATAAATCTCAGAAATTAAGCAATTAAAATGGCAGTCCATCACTTTGTTGTAGTGAGTAGTGTACATGACATCTTTATATATGTGTGTGTGTGTGTGTGTGTGTGTGTGTGTGCGTGTGTGTATATGTGTATCAGGAGGTAAACAGGGAGCTGATGAGCCAGCAGGAAGCCAATTCTGAGCAGCAACAACAGCCTGCAGAGATCTTTGATTTCAAGATCAAATTTGCTGAAACCAAAGCCTACGCCAAGGTAAATCCAGTGAACAAATGCAATGTGAGCTAATATTCAAAAAATACTGCAGCAGAAAAGAACCTGAATTACCTATTATTTTCGGTGATGGTGAGATTCTGAAGTGTGCATCGACTAAAGATTTAAACTTCCCATGATGCAATAGGAGAGAATTTGTGAACTACAGTTAAGCAACTCAAGTGATGTGTGCATCTGCACTTCATTCATACTAAATAACATTTACTTTTTATGTGTTAAACGAATGTTAATCGCATTAAACAAATGTTAATCACATTTGCACATTTTAAATGAGGGTTTGTTTTAGAGCAGGGTATCTGCGAGGTCTTAAAATGTTTTAAATTTCAAGAACCAAATTTTAGGCCTTAAAAAGTCTTAAATGCACTAAAATATTGTATTGTAGGCCTTAAATCATTGTAAACGGGTCTCAATTTTCCTATGTTTATATAAAGCTACAGTATAACCATCCAATCACTAACAATATATTTCAATAAATGTTTTTTAAGAAATGTTTATTATTAACTCTATTTTGCGACGCAGTGGCGCAGTAGGTAGTGCTGTCGCCTCACAGCAAGAAGGTCGCTGGTTCGGTTTTCCCACAGTCCAAAGACGTGCGGTACAGGTGAATTGGGTAAGCTAAATTGTCCGTAGTGAATGAGTGTGTATGAATGTGTCCCAGAGATGGGTTGCAGCTGGAAGGGTATCTGCTGCGTAAAACATATGCTGGATAAGTTGGTGGTTCATTCCGCTGTGGCGACCTCAGATTAAACTGGAAAGAAAATGAATGAATTAACTCTATTCACTTATTAATATGGTTTAATTATCTTGCTAACAATAAGATTTGTTTTAACGTTTTTTAAGGTTTTATAGCAATTTTACTCTTTAGCCTTGTGTAAGAAATGAAATTCATTATGGTCTTAAAAAGATATTAAAAAGGTCCTAAAAAGTCTTACATTTGACTTGATAAAACCTGTAGAAACCCTGTGGAGGATCTTTACCTAAATGTTTAAATTAAGCATCCGTATGTGTTTCTTAAAAGAAGTAAATACGTTTATTCATTGAAGATGCACAAAATTGGTAAAACAAAAGTAGCTGTAATTTGCAATGTTACTTGTTTTATTCTTTTTTTTTTCTTTTTTTTTTACAAATTACATGTAAATTTTACATTTAAATTTTTACTTTTACCAAACACTTTTATCCAAAGTGACTTACAAACCAGGGTAAAAGAAGCACTTCAAATCACCACACCACACTTCTCATTGGTTGTAAATATTATTTTGGACATTATATCCATTGCATAAATATATTAAAGAGATTAATTTCTCGCTTGGCCCTGAATGGGAATAGTGGATTGGTTTTTATTAGCAAAGAGTAAGTTTTTGAATGCTCTGTGTAAAATGTCATGGATAACCTAAAAAATAATAGTAGTAGTTGTTTTGTATTTGTTTTTTCTGTCTAAAGAGACACACTAGCTACATATCATATTCATTAAGCAATCTTGTGTTTAGAAGATGTCAAATATATGTCAAAACATAGATGTCTTTGCTAAAACTATGCTAAATTTGGAGTCTTAGAAAATCTAACAATTGTTCAAAAATAGACTCACCAAATAGTCAGATTAGACAGGAATCACACGTGTAGTCATTCATTCCTGTTTATTTGATGGTTAGTCTATTCTTTGGAAGTCTTACACAAAAAAAAAAAAAAAAAAAAAATCTAGGGAGAAGCTGCAGTCTTTAGTGTACTTGTTAGTGTGCTTGCTATTCCAGAATGGCAGACCGAATCTTGCTTGAATCAGAAAAATCATCTATGCATGCTTTAAAATCTAACTAGTAGTATTGGGTCATCTTGGAGATTTCTTTTCTGAGCAGAACTTGTGTAACATACAGTTTTCATCAACTAAAAATTGATGTTTGGATATAGGGGTTCCTTTCCCCCTCAAATCCTGTTGGACATTTAGCAGCTGTATGTGTTTCTAATGTGAATGTGTGTCTGTTTGTAATTTTAGGCCATAGAAATGGAGCTGCGTAAAATGGAGGTGATTCAAGCCAACAGACAGGTGTCACTGTTGATTTCCTTCATGCCTGACTCCTTCCTGAAACACAGAGGAGACCATGACTGCATCCTGGCACTTCTTCTCATCCCACGGCTCATCTGTAAGGTCAGCCTTCTCTGCATATCTGTGTGTGTTTATAATTGAATGTTTTATTATAATTGAATTTTAAAACTTTATATAATTATTTATTTATTTTTATTTTAATAAACATGAACCTAGAGCAATCAACCGTTTAAAAAAACAAGTGGCTTTTGCATTTAAAAAATGCATTAATAACAAGTACAAATGTGACAAAATGACAAGTGACACTTAAGGCTCTATTTTAATGATCTAAGCGCAAAGTCTAAAACGCAGGGCGCAAAGCATTAAGGGCATGTCCCAATCCACTTCTGTTATTTTAAGGACGGAAAAATATGCTCTGCAGCGCAGCGCATGGTCCAACAGGGTTGTGCTTATTCTCTTAATGAGTTATGGGTTTTGAGCATAAACCAATCAAAGTCTCATCTCCTATTCCCTATAAGAGTCAGTTGCATCGCTTTGTAGGTGGAAAAACTGAAAGCTTCACTAGTGAGAAAACCATTAAACAGATCATCTGCAGCACAAAGATAAAGAATGAGCATCCTCCAATCGGCCATTACTTTTACTTTCACTTTCTCTCTTTCGTGGATAAGGAAACAATGTTGTAGGCTACACACAGGCATCCATTAGCCTACATAATTAATTTTGTTTGTTAAGCGCAAAGGTTTGTTTCAAAACTATTTCTAAATTCAGTTCTAGTTTCCAGCAAACAAATAAATGAACAATAATAACGAAGTGTGGTCAAACAACTGAGTTATATCCAAATACACATGCTATGCCCTATCTGCTTGTTAAGTGTGACGTCATGCGAAGCGGCTTTCGGGTCCAAGCGCTTTATTCAACTGTATAGGGAGACTTATGAAATGGTAATTATAAACGTTTATAAAGCATTTTAATACTTATGGAAATCACGATCGCAATATATATGTCCATGCCTAAAATCCAATGAAAAATTTATAAAAGTTTGGCATTTGTTATGCAACAAGCCCAGAATTTGTTGTGTACACTATGACTTTATATAAAATTAACTTTAATGTGTGATATGAATTAAAAGTGATCTTAAACAAATCATTTCTTAACTCAAATGAGTGGCGGCTTTTACCCAAAAACAGTATTACATACGTCATCTGACAGGTGGGCAAATCTAAGCTTCTTTTTATCAAAACAAATATAATAAATATACATATAGTAAATTATACTGCTAATAATAATAACAACATACAAAAGCAAATTGTCATGCATAAACTAAAAAAAGCCCCCCAAGGTGAAGAAGGCATAAAGGCAGAGGTTTTTATATTTATGTAGAAAATAATCATTTTTGTAATATTTTATTTCCTTGATTCTTTTTCATTTGTAAAGATATTTCTGTTTTGCTGTACATCTTGTGTGTTAATGCAATGTGTAAACAAGGCGCACAACTAACGCGCTCTGCACTGGACTTTAGACCTGTTTTCAGTCTTTTTTAGTTCCTCAAATTAGCAATGCGCCAACAATGCGCCTTAACACACATCTTTTCTAGACCAAAACACCCATGGATTTGCTTGCTATTTAAACAATGTGGCAGAAAACTGGAAAATTAAAGTTGCGTTGTCTGATAATAGCAACACGTCGGGGAAAACATGTCTTGAGCCTTATTGCGCCGGGTGTATGATAGGGCCCTTAATGTGACAGCAATTTTTATCAACAAAACACAATCGGAGGTAAGTCAAAAGTAACATGGTACAAAATACAGAACAGTCTAATGTTTGAAATGGCACTCTGCTGCCTAAACTTTTGTTTCCTAGTAGTATATGACATTTGCACTCTTCTCAACTCATTACTATGCAAACAAACCAGTTTAACGGTGGACTGGAGCAAAATTAACCTCTATTTTCTTTCTGGAAACTAACCTTTTTCATTAAACATTAATTGCGTTCAAGCGTGTCCCTAATTACAGCAAATGATACATTGTGACTGGATGCCATGACAACAGCTTTACAGCAAAATATTTAATATTTTAATATAGACAGTTTTATTTTAGAACATCACTGAAAAGACATTAACAAACGTTCAAGATTACAAGTTTAACATGCATTTATTAAAGTAGTAAATTTACACTTTTAATCCCTTTCTGCCAAATAGAGCTCTTGAAACACAAGGCATTTTCATATGTTAAACATAATATTTACACCCTCCCCACCCTCTACTGAAAGGGGGCGGAGAGCAAGCTCATTTGCATTTAAAGGTAAAATGATATATAATATAATAAATGATCTGTTTTGTGTTTTTAACTAAAATTTTACAGACACATTCATAAGATATCACAGATATATATTACACATAATGTCAAAAGTGGCATCATGTTATCTTTTTTTCTAATGACATTTATTAGCATGAGGACAGGACAACCTGTCACTAACATGACATAACAGCAATAACAAGATGGAATCATCCAATCAGGTCCCAACAAATCACATCAAGCTCCTCCCTAAAATTGATCTCATTAGAAAAGTTATTTCACTCGCATATTAGTCCCATTCCAACTTTTGTTTTGTGTCAATTTAAAGAGCAAAACTTTCACAATGAGCATGCATGCTAACGGCTAAGCCACACTTCTAATCCAGGTTTTGTTTGAATGTGTTTGTGCGTGTTTTTGCAGTCAGAGCTGATCAGCAAGCAGGCGCAGGAGAAGTTTGAGCTGACAGAGAGCTGCTCTCAGAAGCCTGGCATGAGAGGAGCTGTTGGAGAGCGTCTGAGCTTTGCTGCGGGACTCATCTATTCTCTCACACTACTACAGGCAGCGCTGCACAAATATGAACAGTATGTCTAACACTGCTTACTGCAGCATTAGCAAATATGCTAATAAGTAGCATTATTTACCTGATGTGTTTCCTATTGAAGCAGGAAGTTGTTGTATGTTTAAGATGTGTCTCTCTCTGTGACACAGTGCTCTGAGTCAGTGCAGTGTGGATGTGTATAAGCGTGTGGGCTCTCTGTACTCGGAGTTGAGCGTTCATGAGCGATCCCTGGATTTCCTCATTGACCTGCTGTACAAAGACCTGCTAGACGAAACCGTCAATGTGGAGCCTCTTACCAAAGCTATTAAATACTATCAGGTATAACAGCAGCATGACATTTTGTAGCTTTTGCAAAACTGTAATTCTGTCATGACAACTCTGAGAGGAAATTCATTCCGGCAATGATTTGACCAGCCTAGCCAGGCTGGGAGCTCAGCCAAAACCAGCTATGTCCAGCTTAAACCAGGCTGGTCAAGCTGGTTTTAGCTGGATTTAGCTGGTAATTTTCCAGCCTGACCAGCTTAGACCAGGCTGGAAATGGCTGGAAACCAGCCTGGAAATGGCCAAAACCCCTCTAAAGCCACCCTGGTCGACCAGCTAAAACCAGCCAACCAGCCTAGGCTGGTTTAAGCTGGATTTTTCAGCAGGGTTCCTTTATCGTTTGTTTTACCTGATGGATTTTGCAAGGATGTATTTTAATGTTGTAACAAACTATTTGATTACTTTCTCGCATTAATTGAAATGCTTCACATCACTATTCATTTACTGCGCAAGAGAAGACCGACCCGACCCTGTTTAAAATTATATAATCCAAACCTGTTGGGTCCTGCTGCGTCCCGTCGGGTTGGGGCAAAGATCTTCAGGTCTAGCGTAAAACCTGGAAGAGTAATTTATGATTTAAGATTTTTGCAGTGTCTTTTTGTGAGTAAAAAGTGGAGGAGCTCTGAATCTTAAAATTAGGAGAGACATCAGTGGAAGAACAGACAGGACCAGGCCTGAGCATTTTCTCTTATTCCATTGCTGTCTCTCCTTTTAAAATCCAAAGCTCCTCCATGAGACTTGAGACAGGTGGTGCACACAGGTGATGGTCGTTAGCACTCACACCACCAGCCCTGCCACACTCACTACAATCACAGACCTTTTTATTCTCATAAATTTAAAAACCAACCTTTATAAACCATTTATGAGGAACTTACCTTGAGGGAGCAAGTGCTGAATTGGTCCTCTGGGTTTTATTAGCATGGCCGCAGTGCATGATTATTTATATACAGTATAGAAGTAGTGTTTCCTTCAGGAGGAGTAAATTAAGTTATTTACTATATTTCTCTTTGTTGCAGCACCTCTACAGTATTCATCTGGCTGAGCAGCCTGAGGACTGTACCATGCAGCTGGCAGATCACATAAGAGTAAGACACATACACACACAGAAAGAGTGAGATCAGCTCTGCCACACACATCTTTAACTCATCTTCACATGTGTCTGCAGTTCACCCAGAGTGCTCTGGACTGTATGGCGGTGGAGGTGGGCCGTCTGAGGGCCTTCATACAGACAGGACAGGACGAGGAGGCGTTTTGTGTGCTGCTGAAGGATCTGGACACATCCTGTAGTGACATACGGCAGTTCTGCAAGAAGATCCGCCGTCGAATGCCAGGCACCGATGCACCAGGAATCCCAGCTGCCCTCAGCTTCGGCCCACAGGTAGTACACATACACATCTCTTTCAAATACCCCACATGTAAAGGGGGTCATGGCATTTTTTAAATTAGTTTAACATATTTATTTGGGTTCTTATTAGGTTTTACACTAAAAAGTATTATTTTTTTAACCCTCAACCTGACTTACTTTATGAAAAGACTCTATTTACTGGGGGGTTAAAGGTCATTAAAGCTTAAAAGAACAGTTCAAATTTCCTCGCCATTTATTCACACTCTAGTGGTTGTAAACTTTTGTAAATTACTTTCTTCTGTTGAACCCAATATAAGATATTCTAAAGAATGTTGGAAAAAATCAATATTTATGATTAAAGTGAATGTATATGATATATATTGACTTTCTGTTGGGTTTTAGTCTAATGTATGAATAGTGTTGGGGTATAATATCTCACAGTTTACCTTATTTTACTATCCTCATAAACATAAATAAACTATATAGTCCTGTGAATGCTAGTAAATCAATGGGCAACAATTATATCTTTTGATATACAGGGTGGGCCATTTATATAGATAGACCTTAATAAACCTATTGGGAATTTCACAAGAAAAACAATGGTGTGCTTGGTTTTAAACGTAACTTTATTCTTTCATGACCTATTTACAAGCCGCTTCACATATAATAATGTGCCACAAATAGGACGTTAACATCACCAACCATTCCTATTTTATTAAGGTGTATCCATATAAATGGCCCACCCTGTATATCAAAAGAACAAGGCAATTTTGATTTGACCTATCCCGATGACTCCTCTGAATTTTGTCTTGGCTATTCACGCATTGATCGCGCGTGTGCGTGTTTATATATGTGCGTGTTTATATATGTGTGTGTGTGTGTGTGTGTGTGTGTGTGTGTGTGTGTAGGTGTGCGAGGCGCTGGCGGACAGTAGAAGACAGCTGGCCTGGGTGAATGCCGTCCTCCAGGAAGTGGCAGCAGCAGCCGCTCAGCTTATCGCTCCTCTCAGCGAACATGAGGGACTTCCAGCAGTCAAACTGGAGGACATGGCCTTTAAAGCAGCCGAGCAGGTGAGTTTAAGTCAGTCTTGTGAATAGCTTGCCTGCATCACCCCACAACTGAAATAAAAGATGAAATGATTATAAAATATAAATTGTGCAAACAAAAATAGAGAATGATAAAAAGGTGGCTCAGTGGTTATCACTGTCACCTCACAGCAAGAAGGTCCCTGTTTCGAGTTCTAGATGGGTCAGTTGGCATTTCTGTGTGGAGTTTGCATGTTCTTCCTCTGTTCATGTGGGTTTCCTCTGGTTGCTCTGGTTTCAACTTCAGTCCAAAGACATAGGGGAATTGAATAAACTAAAATGCCTGGTAATGTTTGTGTGTGAATGAGTGTGTACGGATGTTTCCCAGTACTGGGTTGCAGCTGGAAGGGCATCTGCTGAGTAAAACATATGCTGGATAAGTTGGCAGTTCATTCCGCTGTTGCAACCCCTGATATAATATATATTATGATATAAGGGGTAACAACTGGAAGAGGGTGTTGGTAAATCTGTCATAAGCATTATTGTCATTAGACTATTATAATTCTTTACATGGTTAATATTTTTCTTAACCTCAAAAACTGAATTTTTCATTAAAATGTAAATAAACATTAATGACACTGTTATAAAATTATTTTTCAAAGTGTTGACATTTTTACTGAGAAATTTTGATGACAAAAGTGATCAGAAAAATATCCACTACACAATTATAATGTCTCATGACAATTATGTTTATGACAGATTTATGACAAGATACGTTGTCTTGATAATGTCAAGTTTTATTGACAATGACACTGACAGGTTTTGTTGTCTTGGTAATGTTTAGTGTCATGACAAAGGGATGAGATGTATTTGGTTGTCAAGTTGTCAAAACAAAGACATCTCAAACAAAGTCACCTTTGAATTTAAAATTACATAAGCTAATGACTCTTAATGACAGCTGCCATAAGCATGCATAAAATCTCCTATTCATGATGTGCCTTGTCATTATATGATGTAAAGTGTTTGTGTTAAGTTCTTATACAGTAGTAGGTACCAATATGCACCCTGTGGACCTAAATATAAACCTTTTGGTATGACCGCAGTATCAGTGACAGCACTATTACCTTTATTTCTGAGAGTATACAGTAATAGGATAGACCTTTTTCTTGGAACGCAAAATTACCCATTATGCTTTGCGTTTATGCGCAAGGAGAATGCGAAGAACTTCCGGTTGGCAGCTGATGCGTGTAAACAGTCACATTTAGACAGCTTTGAAACGATAGTTTTAATCTTTTTTACCTACTTTTATCCTCTTTGAACTAATACTGTTGTCCATCAGCACCATCTCCTGGACTGATCATTTAAAGAAATGCGATCTAATAGGATGGAAAACAGCTGCTGTGAGGCGTTTTCCCCTCGTTGTCAGACGTACGGCATCTTCTGCAGTTTAAATGAAGCCCCGTCATCGCTAAAGTCAACATATTCTCTTTATTTCAAATATATAACCAGCCCAAACAAATGTAATTCACCAAAATGTTTGACACACACAAGTAGCCTGTACTGTGCCACTGACACACTGATTCAATAACTGTGACAAAGTGAAAATATAGGCTAGTGTCATTTCGAAATGACGGAAAAACACAAACCGTGGTGAAAACAACACACGAAATACACAAACGGCTCGCGATTAGAATGAACAGCAAATCAGCCAGCAGAGGATCAATAACAGACTTTTATTGGTCATTTTTGTAAATTGCACAACTTTCATACCTGTTAAGTTTCATGCCAGTACTCTGGTTTGCTCTCTCTCTCTCTCTCCCACTCTCTCTCTCTCTCTGTGTGTGTGCGTGTGTTAAAGAGCCGTTTTTCTCGTATTTCTGACGCGCTTGAACCACATGTGACAGATTATAACAGCTTTAACAGACACATTTCTAAGTTGTGTGTCACAAAAACACTCTGTTATCCATTAAAAACGTTATTGAAACCCATTTTCGGAGCGCAAATTACCAGTTGTACACGCTGTAAATGGAAGTTTTTAGCATTCTACCGGAAGACGCTGGTCGCTATGGCGCCCACCATGCAGCAGCCATGAAAAAGGTCTATAGTATAATATAAACAAGTGGAGTTGTAATTTAATCTCTTTGTATCTGTTTTTTTTTTTCAGATCTATGGGTCGCAGGGCATAAACGCCCAAGAGTGTCTGCGCCAGTCCTGCAGCGTTGTCATTGCAACCATGAACAAGATGGCAACCGCTATGCAGGAGGGCGAATATGACTCTGACAGACCACAGACTGGGGTATTACGACTGCACTCTCTGTGCTTGTGTTTATCAGTCTGTCTGCATTGCACTATGGCTGTTCATTTGTTTGGCTGTTTGTTTCGTCGAGCAGATATCTCCTGTTGAAGTCCGAGCTGCAGCACTGAGGGCAGAAATCACTGATGCTGAAGGACTCGGTCTCAAACTTGAAGACAGAGAAACAGTCATCAAAGAGCTCAAGAAATCTCTGAAAATAAAGGTAGAAGCTCATACTCAGACATACTAAGAGAAAGTGGTGGACGAAATACACAAATCAAGCACTTGAGTAAAAACATTACTCCATTAAATAGAAATTCATCCATTTTATTTAAGTAAAAGTACAAAAGTACTTGCTTTTAATGCACTTAAGTATGAAAATAAAATATATTTACTTATGAATGCTTATCTATTTAGCAAGAAATTGTTTAATTTTATTACCAAAGGGGTCATACACTACACTGCTATATATATATATATATATATATATATATATATACCATATAGCTTCTTAGAAGAGAGCTGTTCAATTAGTTTGTCATGGGGGCCAGTTCAGTTTGAAAAGCATCCCAAATGAATATTTGAACATAGCCCATATGTTGTATTTTTGCTCCTTAAGACACCCATGTTGGATTTTTCGACAATAAAATGTTAATATGTTGTATTTTGAAACTACATAATATCAGTGCATTGTACAATACGTGTCGTCCCAATTGGAGCACTAATGTTTTTTTTTACTAAGCAGATTTTCAAACCGTTTCTCTGATGACGTTTGACAATTTCCAAATCGGTTAAATTAATGACCAAACTATCAAATAATACCTGCCATGAGTATAACCACAATCAGAATCAAGAGGCGCTATAATCACTCTCCTAGGAGAATTTTGCTTTCACAATCCAAAATAAATGAAGTTATCCAACATGTGCGCCCGATAGCTCCGCCCCTTCCGCTATGTGAGCAAATCTGTGGTCGTTGAGTGCGTGAAGTGTCCATCATTCCACACTTCATTTTACCGGCTGTATGAGTGCATCATCTGGGTAATTTAAGTGCACTTTTTATTTTTAGAGTTTTCAGTGTGAACTTACACTATTTATACAAAAATGGCATAGAAATGGCATAGAATAGTGCATAAGTATGCGATTTGAGGCGCAGCTTAGCTTTAAATGGATCATTTGATTCATTGACTTAACTGGAAACTCACTCAGAATGGATCATTTGAATCAGTGAATCATCAACTAAAGACTTTTGATTCAGTGTGTTGTTAATTGGAGACTCACTTTAAATGGATCATTTGGATCAGTTAGTCCTTAACTAATTGGTTAATAGAATCAGTGAGTCATTAATTGAAAACTCACAAGCTTGTCAGTGAGTTGTTAACTGCAGACCAACACTGGAACAATTGAATCAGTGAGTTGTTCACTCAAGAACAGACGCAAATGGCTCTATTAAATTCACCAATTAAGCATTCTGTGTTTCTCAGCGGGTGACAATTTGATACAATGTCAAGTAGGAATGTAATGATGTTAATTTGTTTTTCTTACAAATACTTTAAAAGTGCACTTAACAACAGTAGTAAAGTGATCATACTTAGTCACTGTCCACCACTTTAATAGAAGCAGGAATTATGTGAACATTCTGAGTAAAAATGGTTTTGTTTACAGGGCGAGGAACTGAGTGAGGCCAATGTACGTCTCAGTTTGCTGGAGAAGAAGCTGGACAGTGCATCTAAAGATGCAGATGAGCGAGTGGAGAAGATCCAGGCTATCTTAGATGAGACTGATTCACTTCTGAAAAAGAAGGAGAAGTAAGAGATGAAAGGGAGGATTGCTGCATATAGTTTTTACAACAGCTTGTTACTTAAATTCCTAATATGGGTATTTGTTTGTATTTTTAAAATAATTTTTCTATAGGAATTCTTAAAGTCTATATTAAAGCATTATTAGCTGTTATTAAACAATTCACCTGCATTAAGAATCATAACATTACCAGATAAGTGAAGTAAAAAGGCATTGGAAAATCAGCCAGAATAGAAATGTGCAAAACTTACAGGCTGAGGGGGGAAAACTACTATCCCATGAAGCATTGCAAATGATGCAATCAAATTGAATATAACCTGAATATAAAGCTTTGGAAAATGTCAGGAGACTGACTCATTTACATACAGTTGCTTACGGTGCTTCATTTAAGTGGGTAGAACTAAAGTTCTCCTTTTGTGCAAGCTGCCCTCCACAGCTGATTGGCCAAATTTTTATGTTTAGTTTTTCTCCACAAATTCTGAAAATCCTCTCACCATCTATTCACCCTCAATTGAGTTTTTTTTTCATTGAAGAAAAAAAATATCTTTTGAAGATTAAAGGAAACTTGTAGCCATTGATAACAATAGTAGGGAAAAGCACAAAGGAAGTCAATGGTTACAGGTTTCTAACATTCAATGTCTACCTTTGTGTTCTCGAGAAAACCAGGTTTGGAAACAAGTTGAGGGTGAGTAAATGATGACAGAATTATTATTTTATTTTAATGAAGCATAATTGTTTTAAATATAAGCTTAATTACATACAGGTTTAACAAAAGCACATGTTTGAAGAACAATCTTATAGTTCATAACAGGCCTGTCTTTGAAGATTCATGAGTTCAAATTTTAAAATAAATCCATATAAAAGGTTTTTACTTCAGGACACATTTTCTTGCGTCTTATAGTGACGATGACACTAACACTGTAAAACAATTGTCTAATATGGCTATTTTTAATCCGTAGGGAGTTTGAGGAGACCATGGATGCTCTCCAGGCTGACATAGACCAACTAGAGTCAGAGAAAGTAGAGCTAAAGCATAGAATCAGCAGCCAGTCAAAGATGACCATTGAGAGCCTGAGAGGAAGTCAAGCGTCTGGCATCGCCTCCATTGTGACCTGTGGCATCACTGCTGGTAAGAGACCCATAACGCTGTTAAATACTGTATAATATAACTGTTTAATATAAAAGTTAAGTTAAGATGTCTTACTGAGGTCTTTTTGTTAGATATTCTAACATCTGTGTTTATTGTTTGTGTTCCTTTTAGAAGAACAAAAAGGTAAAGTTGATGCCACATGTGTGACATTTAAATATCCGTCCTCTCTTCTCATCTAAATATCACACTCTTCCTCCCACTTGTGGTTTCTGTGTGTGTTGCATGTGTTCATGCTAGTGCTTATGTTATTAGTGTAGTACAGTCATTTACCGCATGGCTCTTAAATACTGTCATTTTGCGCAAATTGTTTTTGATTGGGGAGACAATAAAAAAGCATTCTCATCTCAAGTTCAGTTAATTCAGCTAAACTTTATCACTGACTGATGTCTGTAATTCATGTCATTTCTTATATCGCATACAATGTTACTGTTACTACACATTATAGGCTACAGTTGAAGTCAGAATTATTAGCCCCCCTTTGAATTTTTGTTTTCTTTTTAAAATATTTCCTAAATGATGTTTAACAGAGCAAGGAAATGTTTACGTTATGTCTGATAATATTTTTTCATCTGGAGAAAGTCTTATTTGTTCTATTTCGGCTAGAATAAAAGCAGTTATTAATAAAAAAAAAAATAAAACATTTTAAGGTCAAAAGTATTAGCCCCTTTAAGCTATTCTTTTTCAATAGTCTACAGAACAAACCTTCATTAGACAATAACTAGCCTAATTACCATAACCTGCCTAATTAACCTAGTTAAGCCTTTAAATGTCACTTTAAGCTGTATAGAAGGGTCTTGAAAAATATCTAGTCGAATATTATTTACTGTCATCATGGCAAAAAATTTAATAAATCAGTTATTAGAAATGAGTTTTTAAAACTAATATGTTTAGAAATGTGTTTAAAAAGTCTGCTCTCCCTTAAACAGAAATTAGGGAAAAAATAAACGGGGGCTAATAATTCAGGGGGGATAATAATTCTGACTTCAACTATAGAATAAATATGTTTTTATATAGAATATATATAATTTTGACTATATAGTCAAAATTACTTTTTTGGGGTTTATTTACTCTGTATTTATTTAAATACAGAGCACAGCATAAATGAGTACACCTCATTTTAAAATGTATGATTTTTATCAATTTCTTTGTGAATGTAGACAATATATTTTGTGATTTTTAACAAACCAGTTTTATTAAACAGTTATATCCATTCAAATAAGTATTTGGTCACCGAACATGGAAAAGAAGGATAATTCATTTAAATTCAAACGAAATAATGCATAAAATATTATTTAAAATTCAACATTGTAACTACATTTTATATTTATGTTTCTTAATTTAAGTTTTAGATTTTTCCTCTTTATTAGAAATTTAAGTAATATTTTTTTTCCCAAGATATTAATTTTGGCGTACTCATTTTTGGATTGTTATCGTTAAATAATTTTCTTAGAATATAATATTTTATAGCATGCTGAGGAAACTATTAGTTTAGAAACGAGATCTGTAAGGGGTCATTTTATGATGAGCACTGAACTGGGTTCACTGTAAATCAATATAATATTTGTTGACTAGTTGAAAAACATTGAATGAATTTAATGAATCCACCAAAAAAAAAAAAGATTCCTTCAAGATTTCAACAATATCATATTTTATTAACATTATCATTAAAAGGTTTAGGCTTCGCTTTTTAATGGTTTTATAGTTTATTTTATTGTAACTGACATATCTTTTATTGTTTAAAAGTCTCTTGCTTCTCAAAGCTCCATTTAACTGATCCAAACATCATTCATTCTTGTTTCGGCTTATTCCCTTTATTAATCTGGCGTCATTACAGTGGAATGAATCGTCAACTTATCCAGCACATGCTCTACTCAGCGGCAACCCATCCCTGGGAAACATCCACACACACCCATTCACACTCATACACTACTGAGAATTTAGCTTACCCAAATCACCTATACCACATGTGTTTTGCTGTGGGGGAAAACGGAGCACCCGAAGGAAACCCACAAGCTCACAAACTCCACACAGAAATGCCAACTGACCTAGCTGAGGCTCGAACCAGCGACCTTCTTGCTGTGAGGTGATCGTGCTAGCCACTGCGCTGCCCATGATCCAAAATACTGTGATATATTATTATAATTAAAATTTAATTTAAACAGTGGGGTGGCATGGTGGCTCAATGGTTAGCACTGTTGTCTCACAACACGAAGGTCGCAGGTTGTGGGCCAGTTGGCTATAAGTGAATTGAATAAACTAAACTGGCTGTTGTGTATGAGTGTGTGTGCGTGTGTGTGAATACGAGAGAGTGCATGAGTGTTTCCTAGTACAGGTTTGCAGCTGGAAGGGCATCCACTGCGTAAAATATATGCTGAAATAGTTGGTTTTTTATTCCATCCTGATAAATAAGGGACTAAGACGAAAGAAAACAACCCGGGCTCATTGTGGAAACGTAGCCCCGCGGACGTTTCTACGGACCGCGATTTACGTCCCGGGAGGTATGTATTCGAGCGTTTTTTTGTTTTCGCGGATCCGCGAGAGGCCGCTGTGCGCGCTTTTTCGCGTCTCGGGTGCCTCTCGGGAACGCCGCGCGCCGTTCTCGCGCGAAAAGCCGCCGGACCGAAAAAAAAAAAGCAAAAGCCATCGTCTTCGATTTCGACCGTGTTTTCGGATCCTGCCGCGTTCTCGCCCTTATTTTTCGGATTCCGTTTTTCGTCTTACCTGATTTCCGGAACCTACTGTTCCCCGGACTCGATCCCGGTCATCGTCCACCGCGGCCGGCTCCGGCTCCTCCTCCGGGGCCTCCACTCCGCCGACGCAACGCTGTGAGCTAAGCGGACAAACTGATTGCATCGGGAAAGCCCTCCACTCGGAGGCGAGCCGTCGGCCGGCAAGTGCGAAGAGGAGGGGCGGAGCGGCGCCACATCGCCCCGCAGCGTTCGCTCGAAAAAAAACAAACGCGGCCTTTACATACTTCCGGCCACGTAAATCGCGGTCTCCAGAAACGTCCGCGGGGCTACGTTTCCAGAATGAGCTTGGGTTGAAAGAAAATGAATGAAGGAATCTCAGTATCTCAAAATGCTGTTTATTTCTGCAAGTCAAAGCTGAATGTGCTGCATCATTTGACCAGTCTTTGCATGATTCTTCACAATTCCTAATACGTGTCAAGAAACATTTAATTTGATTATAAATGTTGAAAACAGTTTTTTACTGTTTTTACTAACTGTTTTATATGCATTTTTTTTATTCTCGTCTTTAATAAACTTCCATTGAAGTTTTCTTCAATTTTTTGTAACATTCATTTGTTCATTTACAGCAGTTCTTCATTTGAGAAATACATCAGTCGTCTCTGTCTTATAGTTAACATGTGATTATTTGTGTTCATACTGAAGGTGTGTGTGCGGCAGCAGGACTGCAGGTGATTGATTCTCCACTGCTCACTCAGCAGATTGAAGCTCAGAGACTCAGTATAAAACACTTGAAGAATGAAAACAACAGACTGAAGGTCTCTCCTACTTCCCTGTAAGCACATTTCCCCAATCCAGGCACGCAGGGTTTATTTACACTTTTGTTTTTGTTTTTTTTCCATGTGCGCAGGCGGAAAGGATGCGTGCTCAGCTGGCGTCTCTCCCTCCTCTGAATGTGCCAAAGCTGGGCTGGCGAGAGGGCTGCAGGCCTGAGGTGTTGTCCAGCGCCCTCTACCGCAAAACTGATCAACTGCTGGACACGCTGCTCCAGATGAGTGCCAATGTGAAAGTGGTGGACATCACCGGGAGATCTCCAGGTGTGTTTTCATTTAAATCGAAAGGGTTACTTCACCTCACAATGTAAAATATGTTATTAATTACTCATTGTCATTCTGTCCCAAAGCTCTCTACGATCTTTGTTTGTCTTCAGAATGCAAATTAAGATATTTTAGATGAAATCAGAGAGCTCTCTCTGACCTTCCATACTGTATACAGCAAGATTTCAGACTCGATCGAAGTCTAGAAAAATACCCCATTGATACCAAATCTGTAGAGACAGGACAATCAACACAAACTGGATCCGTGTCTTTATTAAAATGAGATGAGCGGCAAATCCGGATTTCAACATTTCCAGATAAGAAAAGCTCTCTGGTAAACAATGTTTCTTAGACATGTATTTCTATGGCGTGTCACGTGCACTGTAATCCACACGTAAGTCCAGCTGCACTCTCATAGAGGAAAAATAAAAACAAAACCTTTACACGCTAAGATCTAATGGAAGTGACGCAGCTTCCAAAATTTGTTTCAAACCAGAAGTACGAATTTGCTCGAAATAACGCAAAAACAACCAATTTTCACTTCTTTGTGAAATACAGGTGTCCTAATAGTGTTCTTAGCAGTGTGGGACACATATATGACTCTCAACAGCTCAAAAAATGTGTTTTGGTGTTTCGTGACCCTTTAACAAATTTTTTATGATTAATGAAGAAATTAAAACGCTTTGTTTCGTTTCATCTTCATTTCTAAGTACAATAGCATAATTACATCTGCTGTATAGGCTATTTCTGTCCATTCTCATTCCGTCCCTTTGTGCCCTCTGGCAGCATATTCACAAACTACGGTCATACATTAAAAACATCTGCTTGCTCATTTAAAGCGTCGGCGGTGTAAGCCACGGCAGTAATGGCCACATTGAACTCTCACCTACTGTAAATGCAGCCTACAAACAATTGGCTATTTTTGACATCATTAACCTCACGTTAATCTTCATATAATTACTATCTTCACTAAAAACAATTTGACAGAATTTTTGTTTCCCTGTTTTACAGGAATAATCTGTAAATACTTATGTAAAATTACCTGTTAAAGTACTCTCTGAAAATACCGAAAATTTTTTATTTTTTAATTACAGAAGATATCTGTAAACAACAGGTATTTAAAAGGTAAAAACTGAAAATTTCTGTAAAAAAAATACAGACAATTACCTGTAAAATAACATTTATATTTTACAGCATAGCTTTATCCTGCTGAGAGCAGTGTTTCATGACCCTTTAAAAATGCTTCATGTTGGCCATTTTTTACTGCCATCGAATGGATGAGAGTATCAGTAAGTTTTAAACCACAATAAAATATCTCTTATTGACCAGGGTGAGTAAATAATGACAGAATTTTCATTTTCTGGTGAAGTGCACGTTTAAAAGCACTTTTTTCTGTTGTTTTCACATTGTTTATTTTTGCATTTGATGTGTTTTGGTTAACAGTGAGTCCCAGTGCACAGCTTCTAGAGCAAACAGCGCGACTGCAGTCACTCAATGACACTCTCGATAGGCTCAAGGTAAAACAAAAATGTCTCCAAATTCACAGTAATGTTTCTCGTATTGACTGGAATAACATACAATTTATTTCTTTAAAGGATGAGGTTGCTGAACATGTAGTGACTCACAGGCCTGGCGCTCAAGTTTCATCTGATTTTGCCACTTTTCCCTGCACCTCTTTTGTAAAGGTGAGCTAAACGTACTATTTTATGTTTTTCCCACATTGTTTGGGGTGCGCATTCAACTTCTCGCTCTTTCTCTCTTTCTGCTGTCAGGCAAAGGAGGAGAAGAGAGGAGATGCTGTGTTAGTGGGTCGTGTGATGATGCCCTGCGCTCGAGGACAGGAGCAGGTGCATCGGCTGGTGCTTTCACAAACACAAATACACAGAGTCCATCGCCTTCTCCAGACTTAACATAAACGCAAACCAAAAAAACCAAACCTAAAGTCAGTATCCAAAACATGAGAATACAAAAACACACAAGTATCTGTGGCCACAAACCAAGAACCATCATAACAATATATGCTTCATTACTGTAGCTCACACAAGCATCTGTAAAGCCACAATTTGTACAAAAGGACATGCTGAGGACATCAGATGTTAAACCTGGCATGAGATGGATGATACAGCATGACTCCTGCTAATTTACACTTTAAGGGATAGTTCACACAAAAATGAAAATTGTCATCATTTTACTTTTTTTTTGCTTGTTCCAAAAATGTTTGAGTTTCTTCTGCTGAACACAAACAAAGATATACTGAAGAATGTAAAAAAACTTTCATAGTATTTTTTTGTTCCTAATATGGATGTCAAGGGTGTAACGATACGCATATTCGAAAAGTGTAGACTAAACATCTAAAAAGATAAAAGGGAATAAGTACAAAATATAATGTTTTCAGTGCAACAACGCTTAACATGGCATCCCAAATGACGTGGCAGACAACATGCTGCCTTCCCCGCTGTCATCTTAAACAGTAGACCATTGCTTTTGAACTCAGAATATCACTTTATTAAAGCATGCACTCATTAGCAATCTTGCTAGCTTCTCTGTCAGCCTGGCTGCTAGTGCTGGCTTCGCCCCCGATGCCCCAGCAACACTGCATCCCCGACACAAAAGAGCCAACCTCCAAACACTACTCCATTCACGCGGTACACTAGCTCGCAAAATGGCTAGTAACGTTAATGTAATCCCAGACATCCCAAGTCTCCCGGAAGACTCCTGGATGCCTGCAAACGAATGATAATCTTCTGGAAATCGCGCGTCTCTTCCCAGGTCCTTAAATATGTCGCACACCCCTCTCCACCGCATCCCTCCCAGCTCTTCAGGTACATTGGGCACAACTCAACCCAGCCGCTCAGGTACAACGCACGCACACGCCTCCACCACTCTTCAGATATGTTGCGCACTATCACCGCTACCAAGAGAGTGGTGGAAAAAAACATCTGAGAGATCTTAATCGGTAATGAAAATGTCGGGTTTTAAGAAAATGTTAAATGTAATAAAGCCCCGTTACATTATTCCTTCATAAGCCCATTTCAGTCAGATAATTCCTGCTTTCAGATCCACTGAAATGGCAGGTGACCGTCAAATCAAGCAGATCTGTGCCGTCTGAGGAAAAGGTGGACACTCATCTTTCTGAAAATAAAAAAATACTTAAAAATTGATTGAAACTGAGCTCCATATAAAAACTAAATTGTTCTTTTCTTTTTATTTGTTTCACTTCTACAATATTATGTTGATTTTTTTATAAGCAGCTTTTTGGTTTTGAGTATAAAGAAGGATTTGTTTTATTTGCTGCTAAGCAGAAACCCCGGAAGTATAGCTCTACCACTGTTTAAAGTAAAAGAAAAAAAACAGGATCATACTTTTATGATGTTAGTTTTAATACATTAAAAAATTAAATCAAAGGAATCCTTTGGCTTTTTTCTTTTTTTGCTGTATCGAAAACGTACCGAACCGTGATTTTTGTGAACCGTTACACCCCTATTGTCAATGCGTCATTTTTCCCAACATTCTTCAGAATATTTTGTTTTGTGTTCAACAAAGGAACGAAGTTTATAAAAGTTTACAACCATTTGTTGTAATGTTCATTTTTGGGTGAAGTATCCTTTTAACTTCTGTCTTTCTCTTACTTTGGAATATCATTAATTCTTTAATATTATTAATATAATTCGAACCATATACAGTACAGTATGTGTTTATTTAAATGATCATGACTTAACAATTTTCAGCCGATGGAAATTAAAACAGCAAAAACAACACTATAAATTGAAGAGGAGTCACATGATTTGACCAGTAAACAATCAACTGAATACCTAGCAACTACTTGGCTGTTGCACTGCAATAAAAACCAATCAAAACAATAAACCTTAAAGCAACATTCTGCTACACGCAGCACCCGATCATCGCGCCACTGATTTTGCATTACACAATAACTGCTCGCGTTACTATCAGAAAATGACAAAATCAAGTTGGCCTCTCGAGAACTGGCAGTAGTATTAACGGTTGTTTTGCTAATCTTCGTGAATGAGATTGAGATTTCAATTTGAAATCAATGTCAATGGAAGATTAATGCGAGGGCAGAAGATTTTGCATCCTTTTTATTCTAAAAAACGTTTGCTTTTGGAGTTGTGTGAAAAGTAGTAAATGTGAATAATGTGAAATAAAAACGCATTTGCTGAACAAACTCTGACGTAGCGAACATTACAACCACGTCTCTATCATGCTTGCTTTGTTTACTGTATTGCTAGATTACCAATACTAGTCAGCCACTCGAATGGGGTGTTCACACTGGACGCGGCCTACGCTATTAAATCATGCTATTTGTCCAAAATTGGATGCTTGAACATTACGTTTACTCGCTTAATTTCTGTGTGAAATTTACTTCACAACAGATGTAAAACTGCTTCAGTTTTGTTGCAAAAAGCTGACATGAAGTTTGTTGTGAGGGTAGCTTTGCTTTATGTGCTACGGAAGGCTGATAAACATCATGGACTCAATCGGCACTGTTTCTGGGTCCATCAGAGGCGCACCCAGACTTGGTTGAGTTTCACCAACTCCTACATGAGCTGCTTATGGAGCTGTTGTCGGGCCATAAAAGTTACACGGTACGAGCCCGAGAAGTACATTTTGATTGATAGTTTTTTAAAAGCCTAAACCCGTTTACAGCCCAACATTATTCAAATGTACACATGCACGCAGATCTTTTGCCTTTTTTTCAAGAATGAGCTGTTTATATGTGTTTTAACATAATTTATTCATAACGTAGGATATAGACCACTTGGAAGTTGAAACAAAGAAATAAAATAAGTCCTCTGTAACATCGTAACTCTCAGCATTCTAAATAGGCTTATGTACATAGGCTACACATAGCCTTTAAATTGGCCAAAACACCAATAAAATTTGTATTTTCTAACAAAGTAAATTAAAATAAAACGGGTATTTGGCAATAACGAAGTTAGGATAAAGGCTCTGCAGGATTTATTTTGCCACTTCTCTGCACAAGCTGAACATTATGTGAATAGCTGCGCTGACTGATGGTGCATCCAGCAGCACTGAATACCTTTTTACTGCTGGCCGTCATGCATACAGTATTACTACTGATCTGGCTAATTTTGCAAGTTTTGGGTAGGATTGTTTGTTCATCTTCCACCAGCCAAGTACACCCCTTTTATTGTCTATGACAGCGTTTTCAATGTAGCAAGTGACCTTGTCATTTTTCCACTACGCAAAATTGGCTCTACTTCTCTGTCATTATTTGTTTTACCTTCGCAAAGATGGATTTTGATGTTGTAACAAACAATTTGATTGCTTTCTCACACTAATCGAAATGCATCACATGACTGTTCATTTACCGCACAAGCCCGAGCCCGGCCCGATCCTGTCTGAAATGATAGAATTTAAGCCCAAACCCGTCGGGTTAGCTTTAATCTAGATAACAGCGCTACTAGAACAATCTTCTGAATGGTTTACATGGTGCGAATTTTCGGCAAAGTTCATAATTGTTAACCCGAGGAATTGATGTGAATTATGCCTTATGAGTGTCAAACACCCGAAATGCTTAATTTGAGTCATGCCATTCGGTTGAATCGCATTGTTCGCATAGCCTCATTCACACGAATCAGGCCTTATGAGTAGGGCCAGACGGAATCTGCGGATGTTTTTTGCTATTTCTGTGGAGAATTTTGGTAAACATCTGCGGATTTCTGCAGAATTATTTTGGCAGTATCATAACTAAAACCTTAATATGTTCAATAAAAAAATATCTTTGTAACTTTTATTTATGTTTAAAATGCAAATCTAATTAGATTCACTTTATTTGGTAAACAAAGCAAGTCTCTCATATAATATATCTACTAAAAGACAGAAAATAAATATAGATATTACACACATATACAATTAAATAAACAGAATTAATAATGGGCTAAAAATCTGCAGAATTCTGCGAAAAATCTGCGCACGCAGATTCCGTGTGGGCTTACTTATGAGTGTCAAATGCCCAAAACGCTCATTTCCACGCCGTGTCATTTGCACGGATAGAATCGTTCGCACCACCTCATTTGCGAGAATCTCACTGCAGGATGTCTGTCACATCTTTGCATTGACTTAACATGTAAATCACTCGCGCTTCATCTCCGTCTGGTGTGAACGCACCAACTTGTTGGACACGCACTCTAATTCGTATTTAATTACAATCATACACACAAAATAGTCCAGAAAAACATTTACCATAACAGCTAAAGATTTACCAGCCCTGTGTGCTTTTCTGCAATGCCTGAACGTGCCACACCATTGTGCTTTTATAAAGGAAATACAGTTGTCCTTTTAGAGCGAATGATCAAACAAGTCCCAGCAGGGACAAGGCAAAACAACAACAAAGAGGACAGTAGACAATATTTAACCTTAACTGTTGTATATTTGCTACATGAGATTGTCAGTATTCAAGTGTTCTTAAGTCAGCAGTGGTTTGCTCTGTTACTATTGTGTAAGTTATTAACCTATTAACTGTGTCAAACCCACACCATTGCTTGAAGTATCATTGAATGTGTTGCCATCTTACGTGTATACATCATGTGAGTGAATTAATTTAAATAAATTATTATGCCAATGATTGCTTGTTTTAAAGTGTTTTTGTTTAAAATAGAACATTTTAACTCATACTACAGGCTGTTGACTAGTAGAGTAGTGCAACCAATGGAACTGATGGGGCTACAACAGATTTGACCACGCCTCCTTTTTAAAATTGTACATTTTCGTTCGACTGAACTTAGACACTAAACTGACAAAACCTAAAATACTTAAGTTTCCTCATGATATCAGGCTGGAACAAACCGCATAATGAGGTAGAGCTGCACGATTCTGGCTAAAATGAGAATCGCGATTTTCTCACAATTCTGTATATGTAAAATAAAGGTATGGTAAAAACAAACATATGGCACTCTCAATAATAATATTATGTGTAGGTCTACTGGTTTTATAAATAATTATATTCTACTTGTAATAATTATGATGTTGAATTATTATGTTTGAGATATATGCTTGCAATCTGTCATATTAGACAAATTTATTCACTTGTAAAATCAGACATTTGCCTTTATCAAATTTTATTCAACAATATATAGGCTAGAGTAGTTATACTGACATTGTAAACATTTATTTTCATGCACAACTGTGGGTTCGCTATGAAAGAAAAAAAAAAACATATGAAATGCTTGCCATAATCATAACTCTAAAATGCGATATGATCATTTAAATGAAGTGCACACTTTCGGTTTAATTTTGATTGCTACATGCTTGTTCATACTTTGCGCGCCGCTCCCAAATGATTACTCTGCCACAAACAGAATATTTACAACTGTATTACAACCTGTTACTTGCAACATATGTTCACTAAAGTAGAAGCACGCGCGTCTATCATTAAGTAGAGCGCGCGCGCCCTCTCTGTGATAACAGCTCACAGTCAGCAGCTCGTCACGTGTGATATCCCCGCCGCAAAATCATCATTATATGAAGACAAAAATGACATTTTTAGGTGAATTATACCTTATGAATACATTATGTGACTCATTCAACATCATTTGGAGGTGTCAATGTCACTGAGCAGCGTGTGTGAAACACTGAAAAGACTCGTGCAGCCGCATTTTCTTCTCTCCTGAACTCGAAAATATGATTGACAGAATCGTAGTAATGCTGGATTAAGATCGTCTAGGGCAGGGCTCACCAATCACGGTCCTGGAGGGCCGGTGTCCCTGCAGGGTTTAGCTCCAACTTGCCTCAACACACCTGCCTGGGTGTTTCAAGTATACCTAGTAAGACCTTGATTGGCTTGTTCAGGTGTGTTTGATTAGGGTTGGAGCTAAAACCTGCAGGACACTGGCCCTACAGGAACAAGTTTGGTGACCACTGGTCTAGGGGGTCGAATCGAGATCGCGATCTTTTAACGATTAATTGTGCAGCTCTATAATGAGGGTAGTCCAAAAAGCATAGTCGAGGTCACAGGCAAAGAGGTCAATACAGGTGGCAAAACAACATAAACAGGGAAACAAGGCAAGGGTCAGAACACGGAAATACTTAACAAGGAGAACGCTTTGTAGTTAAGTTCGTTGTTGTTGGTGTGGGAAGAAGAAGACAGGGTCGGCGATTCAGGTAAGTAAATATCTTTATTTTAAATTTTGCCATCACACCACTGTAGCTATGTGTGTGTGTGTGTGTGTGTGTGTGAGAGAGAGAGCTAGCTTTGTGAGTTCATCAACTCATCCAGAAACTATATCTGGATGATGGAAGCTTTTAGTGGTACTTTCGACTGAGCTCAGTATGATGAGATATTGATCGGTGTCAGCAGAGGATTTCCCCTTGGAACACCAACAACAGGTGCTACATGGAACTCCCTGACACGTTCACTCTTTTCTGTTAATAATATCTCAGAATTCAAATCTTTACTTAATACTCACTTGTTTTCTGAATGCTTCACTTCTGATCTGACAAACTGACAACTTTGTTTGCGCCACCTGTACTCAGCTTATTTGTCTCTTAGGTCTTGTTTTGTATTTACAGTTTGTTATATTTGACTTCCTGTATGTTTGTGTACCTAATGTTGTCTCTACTTGTTTACTGTTTATTTCAATGCTGCTTGTACGATATATTTTTGTTACATTCTTTGTAAAGTGCCCTTGAGCTCTGGTAAGGCGCTATATAAATACAATTTATCATTTATTATTATTATTATTACATCATAATCACACCTATCCTCGAGCAAGCTCCTGATTGGTTAACGTGGTAAAAGTTCAGATTTTAACTGAGCAATTCTCGTGTTAAGCTTGTCAAACGCCCAAAAACGTTCAATTTGAGCCACCTCAATCATGAGAATAGCACTATAGGGTGTCTTTGCATTGACTTAACATGTAAATCACTGACGCTTGATGCTTCATCCTCAACTAATGTGAATGTTCCATAATGGCAGACGGCTGCTTCTCACTCAGGGCTGTCTATGCTAATGAGGGAGAGATTATCACTAATGGGCGGGGCTTTTCCCTTCTGATAACATGTTCATTGGGAAAATGCCAATAAAATTGCTTTTAACAAAGTGATTATAAAAAACAGAATGAATACATTTTTACTATTAGAAAATTGCTATATTCACACACTATTGTTTAAACCCCTTATAAAAGTGATTTTTGCACTTCCTTTAAGCTAGGCTCTAGTTTCTGGAGTAGCTTCTCCAATACTTATTACAAAAAATAAAAGCACCTTGACACCAATAATATCTCCATCCTTCAGGTAGAAAGGAGCTGCCTGGAGACTCTCGGCTTTTCTCTTCTTCTTCCTTTTTGAGATCTTTTAAGTCTATAATTCATTCAGAAGTTATTATACAAGTATACATCACTCTAAGCCGAAAATACACTCAATTGATACATTCGCTCTCTCTTCTCACCCAGTTGGAGATGGGCATCCAGCTGTGTTTGTCAGGCAGGTGTTTAGCCAGCAGCAGGTTGTCAGGAACAAGGCCGTAGTGGGCGGCCAGAGCAGCGTACAGGCCCTTAGGTGTTCTCTCCTCTCAAGACTTACCTTCTCTTCTCCTAAAGAAGGGTGTCTCTCCGGCCCAATCACTAGAATAAAATGGTGCTATTATTTCTGATTGCTGATTAGCTGCTGGGCTTTGAGAATACTCTCCCCCCTCATTGGGTGTTCGATCATGCCTACCTCTCCACACACTTTATAGTGTTACAGCAAACAAGCGATGTTTTGTCATCATTTTTTTCAGTGTATCTTTTGAAAACGTATAGTAGATGAGTTTGTCTCACCATATTTGACTTTCAGGTCTTTCACTGCAGTTTTTAACTAATGAATGATTGGTACCAATGGAATATAGACTTGTACCTTAAATTAAAGCCTGACCTTTTAATTTGATGGTCTCGTCATCAATTATTGCTTACGTTTTTAAATATGCTAACTTGTCAAAGCTCACGGAGACAGACGTGCTTCAGAAGAGAGCTTCCAAGCTGTAGATAAAACATTTGCATTAACAAACCAGCAATGAAAGAGCTTTCTGGAACAGTTTGCAGAAGAGCCATAAAAGCCATGATAAGCGAAATTTTGAATAAACGTGCCCTCTTTATTTTCCTCCAACGAAAACTGTTTACCACATCACTTTCTGACATGGCGCACGACCAGACGCATCAACCGGGATACATTCATCACTTTTTACATAAAGCTGAACAGAACTAGAGCCAGTACAATCCTCCAGCATATGGAGACCGCGGGAATACTGGGCAATAATATCACGGCACTTCTCAACAATGGCACCATCAGCGTCAACAACGTCCAGGAGATCATCCGATGGGTCACATTCGCGGTTGGGCTTCCTAGTATCGGCTTTTCCATCTACCTCATGGGCATGCAAGCCAAAACGGGCAAAGCGGCTCCAGTTTACCTCATCAGCCTGCTCGCGTCTGACATCTTCAACATCCTCGGACGGCCCAAATCCTCAACGGGGGACGGCCAGCACATCAGCATGTCCACCATGGATATATCCTCCCTGATGTTCTACTTCGGGATCATCTCCAACATCGTGTTCCTGGTCTGCGTGGCTCAGGAGAGATACCTGCTGGTGACCTGTCCCCAATATAACGCCTTCTGCGTCAAACTCAAGCAGTCCAGCATGATTTCTTTGGCCATCTGGGCGGCTCCGTTTGCAATACTCTTCCTGGCCTACCAAGGATATGTCGTCCTGTTTGCCATTTCTCTTCTTCTCCCATTGCCCTTCCTTGTGTTTTTCTTCCTGGATTCCTTCAGGGCCTTGTGGTGTACGAGACGTCCTGCTTGTGTGCCTAACAGAAATAAAATTCTAGGTATGCAGGCGGTGATTTTGAGTAATTACACCATGCTTTATCTGCCGTTTGTCCTCAATACGCTGCTCACCGCGTTGTCTCTAGGCTCTTATGTCTATTATTTGGGACTTGTGTCTGATCTTCTTTTGTATCTCGGCCCACTGGTGGATCCGTTGCTCTCCATCCTTCTCACGAATGGAATGGCTGACATTTTAAAGGCTTTTCCATGCTGCGCGAGGAGGACGGACACGCAGGAGGAAGTGCAGACTGTGGATACTGACACTGTGGAAACGGTGTCAGGGACTTTAACTCGATTCTGAGGAGATTGGACTGATGATTTTGTATTTGTTAAGGCTTAAGTTAATTTTATTTTATCTTATTTTCTGGGTGTTTTGAAAACTTTTTTGCTCGCTTTCATGTCGTTTTAAATGTTTGGAATCAGTATGTTTAGTTTCAACAAATATTTGTCTGCTTGTTCAAACTTCTTATTTAAAATGGGCTGAAAAAACACAATTCTTAGGAATTTTTAAGGGAGAACTTCATTGTTTTATGTTCAATCAACTTAAATATGTTAAGCTAACTTAATCGATTTGTGTTGGGACAACATGAATGAATTGTGTGGAACTGTGCATTTTGTGTCAAAGTATTAAAACAATAAAAGTGTAACACAACTTTCATTTGTTTTCTCTATACATTAGAACGTGTCTTTTTTAAAAGGGAAATTTGACCACAAACTGAAGGTTCTGTCATTACTCTCCCTTGACTTGTTGTTTGAGGTTGTCATTGTTTCATTTTTTTTTCTGTTGAACACAAAGGAAGATTATTTGAAAAATGTGTATCCATTGACATCTATCAAATAAAAAACAAATACTATGAATGCCAATGGTTACCGGTTCTTCTTCAACATTTTTCTAAATATCTTATTTTGTATTCAACAGAAAAAAAAATCTGATTGTCAAGAGTGAGTAATGTCAGAACTTGGGTGAACTATGAGTATGTGAGAACTGGCTGTTGGCATATCCTCCTAGAGCCTGAGTGTCCACATACGTGGACAGCACTTTTTTAGCTCTTAAGTGGCTATTTAAAACACTTTGAATGTTTTTTTTATGGTTACAGACATACAGTGTCATCCTGCAACTGTTTTGCAGCATATGAAATGTTCCAAAACCTATTTGTAACGGTCCGAAATGGGGGAAATAAATGTTTTTTAACTCTCTGATAGTCAAAGCAAGTTAAAAAAGAAATTCCATGTTATAAATACATTAAAAACAGTCAGGAAAAAGTGTTTTATGTAAATTCAGACCACATATGGACATCATTTTTCTCATAGTACATCATACTAAAAGATGATACTTATATTTTTATTCTAATTAGGTTCCAATAAGCCCAAAAAGCAAAGAGTAATAAAAAACGCATGTAAAACAAAACACATTGCGCCTTAAGAGGATATTTTGGTATGTTGATGTACTTCCAACTGAAACAGAATACTCGGTTGTGAGGAGATAGCATTGATGGTTTTCTATTTGTTAAGGCTCATTTTCAAAGTGTATGAAAAAGTTTTTGCTCGCTTTCATGTTGTTTCTAATCTTTGGTATCAGTATGTTTCAAGTGGCTTTTTGACAGTACACTCAAAAACAAAATATTTGTCTGCTTGTTCAAACTGCTTATTTAAATTGAGCTGAAACAACACAATTCTTAAGATTGTTTTGGGGACAACGTCATTGTTTATGTTTAATCCACTTAAATTTGTTAAGCTCACCTAAATGATTTGTGTTTGTCTGTCTCACCCTTTACAGGTCTTTCAGTCTCTGCTAACGAGCTGATGATCTGAATCAGGTGTGTTTGATTAAAGACACATGAAAAATGTGCAGAGCTGATGGGCCTCCAGGAACGTGGTTGAGAAACGCTGCATTAGAACATGTCTTTTTTTAAAGGGAAATTTCACTACAAACTGAAGGTTCTGTCATTACTCTCCCTTAAGTTGTGGTTTAAGGTTGTCATTGTTTCTTTCTTTGTTTTTTTTTTGTTGTTTTTTAGGACAAAGGAAAATTATTTTTAAAAATGTTGAAAATGTGTATCCATTGACATTCATCAAAGGAAAAACAAATACTATGAATGTCAGTGGTTACCAGCTCCAGCTCTTCTTCAACAATTTTTAAAATATCTTAAATTGTGTTAAAGAAAACAAAAAAAAAAGAGACTCAAACTGTCAAGGGTGAGTAATGTCAGAACTTGGGCGAACTATGAGTATGTGAGAACCGGAAGTTGGCATATTTTAGTATATTGATGTACTTCCAACTGAAACAGAATACTCTGTTGTGAGGAGATTGGACCGATAGTTATATATTTGTTAAGGCTCATTTTTAAAGCATTAGAAAACTTTTTGCGTGCTTACATGTTTCAAATCTTTGGAATCAGAATGTTTCAAGTGGCTATTTGACAGTACACTCAAAAAGAAAATATCTGTCTCCTTGTTCAAACTACTTATTTAAATTGAGCTGAAACAACACAATTCTTAAGATTGTTTTGAGGACAACTTCATTGTTTATGTTTAATCCACTTAAATTTGTTAAGCTAACCTAATCGATTTGTGTTGGGCTAACATGAATGTATTGTGTGGAATTTTGTGTCAAAGTATTGACACAATAAAAGTTTAAGTTTTCATTTGTTTTCTCTAGACATTAGAACAGTGTTTCTCAACCACGTTCCTAGAGTATCAGCTGCACTGCATGCTTTGGATGTCTCCTTTGTCTGTCACACCAGTTACAGGTCTTTCAGTCTCTGTTAACGAGCTGATGATCTGAATCAGCTGTGTTTGATTAAGGACGCATGAAAAATGTGCAGAGCTGGTGGGCCTCCAGGAACGTGGTTGAGAAACACTGCATCAGTATGAGTCTTTTTTTAAAAGGGAAAGTTTACCACAAACTGAAGGTACTGTCATTACTCTCCCTTGACTTGTTGTTTGAGGTTGTCATTGTTTCGTTTTTTTATTTATTTTTTTATTTATTTTTGTTCTGTTGAAGACAAAGGAAGATTATTTGAAAAATGTTGAAAATGTGTACCCATTGACATTTATCAAAGGAAAAACAAATACTATGAATGTCAGTGGTTACCAGTTCTTTAACAATTTTTAAAATATCTTATTTTGTGTTCAACAGAACAAAAAAAGAGACTCAAACTGTCAAGGGTGAGTAATGTCAGAACTTGGGTGAACTATGAGTATGTGAGAACTGGAAGTTGGTATATTTTAGTATGTTGATGTACTTCCAACTGAAACAGAATACTCGGTTGTGAGGAGATTAGATTGATAGTTTTCTATTTGTTAAGGCTCATTTTCAAAGTGTATGAAAACTTTTTGCTTGCTTTCATGTTGTTTTAAATCTTTGGTATCAGTATGTTTCAAGTGGCTTTTTGACAGTACACTCAAAAACAAAATATTTGTTTCCTTGTTCAAACTACTTATATAAATAGAGCTGAAAAAACACAATTCTTGAGATTGTTTTGTGGACAACGTCATTTTTTATGTTTAATTCACTTAAATTTGTTAAGCTCACCTATCGAAGCGTCTGCTAAATGACTTAATGTAAATGTAAATTTGTGTTGGGCTAACATGAATGTATTGTGTGGAGTTTTGTGTCAAAGGATTGACACAATAAAAGTGTAACAGTTTTCATTTGTTTTCTTTGTACATTAGAACAGTGTTTCTCAACCATGTTCCTAGAGTACCAGCTGCACTGTTTTGGATGTCTCTTTTGTCTGTAACACCCGTTACAGGTCTTTCAGTCTCTGCTAACGAGCTGATGATCTGAATCAGCTGTGTTTGATTAAGGACACATGAAAAATGTGCATGTGTATGTGTGAATGTTTCAAGTGTCTTTTTGACAGTACACTCAAAAACAAAAAAATATTTGTCTGCTTGTTCAAACTAAATTTAAATTGAGCTAAACAACACAATTCTTAAGATAGTTTTGGGGACAACTTCATTGTTTTGTTTAATCCACTTAAATTTGCTTAACTTAATTTGTGTTGGTACAACATGTATGAACCGTGGGACCATTTTTACAGTGTGTGTGTCAAAGTATTAAAACAATAAGTGTAACACACAGCTTTCATATGTTTTCTCCATGCATTAGAATGTGTCTTTATAAAGGATAAATGGATAAAGTTCTGTCATTACTCTCCCTTGACTTGTTGAGGTTGGAGGTTGTTGTTTTTTGTTCTGTTGAGGAAAAAGGAAGACATTTTGACCAATGTTGGAAACACGTAGCCATTGAGGTTACTGGTTCTGCTTCAACATACTATTTTGTGTTAAACAGAAAAAAACAGACTGAAACTGTCAAGGGTAAGAAGTGTTAGAACTTGAGTGAACTGTCCCTTTAAGGCACAGGTGTCAAAGTCAGCTCCTAGAGGGCCGAAGCTCTGCAGAGTTCAGCTTTAACCCTAATTAAACACCTGATCAAACTAATTGAGTCATTTACACTTGTTTGAAACCTGCAGGTGAGTGTGTTGAAGCAGGGTTGGAACTAAACTGTGCAGAGCTGCGGCCCTCCAGGATCTGAGATTGACACCCCTGCTTTTTATTTATGCAGGAACGGGAAGTTGTTGACACATTGGTGTGCTGATGAACTTACAATTGAAACAGAATAGAGAGAGGGCGGGGCTTTCTTTTTGTGCATCCTTTCCTCATAGCAAATAAATGTTAGGGAGGTGTGTTTTACAATATTGCAACTGACGTCATCAGAGAAGGGCCGTCATTTTAAACGCAGAAGCAAATGGTCAGATTTTGATTGCCAAAGATTAACAAAACAATTATTTCAGTGGTTTTACTTACACAAATAAAAGTTCATCTGAAGAATGACACTATCCTCAAGCAAAATAAACATTTTTTGATTTTATTTTAAATGCATTTTTTGTGAGCAATAGGTTTAATTTACTACTTTTTGCACATATGACAAAAATGACATTGTGTGTAACAATAGTGTTATGTAGTTGGACTGTCTGCTAACATGCGACAACAATGTTTGTGAGGAAAAATTTTACCCGAGAGCTTTTTGCATCTGCAAATGGTGAAATCAGGATTTGCCACTCGTCTTCTTTTAAAAGAACGACTCCAGTTCATTGAATGGTCTCGCCTCTACGGATTTGGTAAGTGTTTGATCAGTGTTCTTTATTTATGTTTATTCAGATTGCAAAATTAGTTAATAACATCAGCAGTACTCTTTTAGTTTTTAGACTTACCCCAGTCAAAATGATTGTGATGTGAGTTACTAAGTTTACAGGAATATCCCTACAATATTCTGGACTGAAAGATCCACTGTAATTGCCAAGTTACCGAGAAATACAGAATTTTTTTTTCTCCCATTAGACGTGCGGTATTAAACATTCCATTAAAACTACACTGTTCCAGCAGTTCCTCACATTCAATATCTTGTTTGTCTCGGAGGGCATGCATGAAATGTTCCTGAATGAAAGTGAAAGAGCCAAACTGCAGATAAAGTCTACTATTTAGAAATTTGGCAAATAATTCGATTACTGATGTCCATGTAAACATAGTCACTGTCTTTCTCCTCTGTGTCTGTGTTTGTATTGCTGCTGTGAAAATCAACTAAAACTCCCGTCCATGTAAACCCTTCGCTCTTTCGCCACTCTCACCTAAACAAAGCTGGACTCAACCACTTTCCTGACTTTTTCAAAATAGAGGTGTAAAAACACCCTTTTGTTTGGGTTGAAGGTTTGTGAAGTGTTTTGAAATGTGCATTTTTTTATTCAAATGTTTGACAATCTCAACCAAAACATGAAGAGGGAGGGACAGCGTAGCCCTCCCTTTTAAAAACAGCCAATAGCGTTTTGTTTTAGAATTGCTCTGCCAGTGAGAGTGATTGAGCTCAAAGTGCATCAATTGAAAAGCAAATGTAAAGCATCTTGAAGGGGGCGGGGCATGTCAGATACTACAGAGCACTTGAATGGGTATGATATGATGAGAAACTAATGTGTGATTGATCCATTTAGTGGGAAGTGACTACAAGCTTTCCATGTTTATATCAGTTATATATCTTCTAAGTGCTTGTCACTGTTTTGGAGCACATTAGCTATTAGATATGCTAAAAGCTAACAATACTGATACCATAGATATGTACACTAGATGTCGCCTGGCCTATTGTTGTCGATTGGACGGAATGCGTCAATAGCGGCGCCATCTTGCTACAGGGTAGCGCTCCTTTGAAATGAATGCGGAACTAAGGTACAGTGGAGGACTGTGGCCATGCAAAGCCAGAGATATACACATATGCACATATATCTGTGATCGGGAGTTTTTCTGGATGTTAGTATGTAATTTTTTTTTTCTAATTCCGAAAATTATAATTTTACATCACTTTTCTACATTGATGGATCAGTGATCGCACAGGCATTCCTGACAAAAAGCTTGTGTTTGTGTGTACAGAAATGTACTATTCACCCTCCCTGTTAAATTTAATCTAATGCGTGTCCTGAAACACACCTGCTCTCCTGCTTTCACTTATCATACTGACGGAGGGAGTGATTCGTTTGTGAATGAATCTCCCCGAACGACTCTTTCACTAACGTTAGGCGACAATAATACAAGTTTCTGGCAGCGCAGCATCTCGTCGTCATATTTCTTTTGCATTGTTTGCTGATTTTATTCAACAAAACTAGCATAAGCCGAGTGTTTAGTGCGAGTTGGAGCTGCTTTGCCGTATGGTGAATGCAGTAAGCGACTGTTATCCTCAATAACGTTACCTGATTAGCACAAAAGTTCAGAACATACAAAAACAGAAAAAAAACATAATATTACCTATGAAATGTTCTGCCTTTGTGCTTTGTTTAATTTGTTTGCTCGTTACTACACCTGTAGACAGCGCTAAAGTCCCGCATCTTCACATAATAACACTGTCTTGTCTAGTGCGGTTGAATGACATTTGTCCTGGGAGCACTGTACCAATGTGGCGGCGCTATTGACGCATGCTCAGGGTCAATATGCGATCTCTAGTGTATATATCTATGACTGATACTAACATCGAAAAACTTTAGTTTTAATTTCTTGAGACTTTTAAATAATGACAAATTATTTTTCAAAGTGAATGGCTTTGTATCCGCTAGACAACAATTTCAGAAAGAGTCTAGTTTGAAAAACAGAGGCTTGTATAGTTTCTTTAATAATCATAAAATGCAATACAAATGTCGTCTCAAATACATAGAAGACTCTAAAAACTAAAAAGGTGTAAAACATCCGAGGAAGGTCTCGTAGGATATGAAGTCTGCACACACTCTGGAGCAGACTGAACAGGTAGAGAACTGTAGAGAAAGAGTGCAGAGCTCTCTGAGCACGTAACGGTAAAAATCTTCAGGCACAGTCACCACACCGCGGCATAACTGTGTGTGTGTGTGTGTCCATACAAAAGTGTGGAGATTTGGCTTTTAAAATCCGCACACAACACCACAATCATACACCGACTGGAACGCAGGAAATCTGTAAACAGACAATCTCCATTTAAAAAATACAAAGTCACTGATTAGGCGCTTTCTGTAGGAGTAAGAGGCTAGCAAGCCAATCCATCGTAAAAAAAAAACCCAAAGTGATTGAACAGAGCCGTGGTGTTCAAGTCCTGAGTTTTTAAAATAAGATAAAAGGCCAAAATAAGGTTGAGTTGAAAACACTGATAAAGGATTGCAGGCCTGTAACGCTCACTTGAAGTAAAGCACTGAACACAGAGGGAGGTTTTTCCATCTGGTGAACCGCTAGTGTGTGTCAGGAGGAGGAGAAGTGAGGGTTTGTTGGCAGCACAAACGGTGGTTCAGCTCGATCCAGGAATGGCGTGTGATGGAAGGCTCATCGGCGCGGCTGGTGTCGGGCTGGTCTTGGAGCGGGAGCCACGGCGCAGGTGGGTGTGGAGGCTGAAGCCGCAGCATCTTCTGCCTCCTCCAGTTCCCCCTGGAGCTCCTGACTGACGCTGGACTGCAGCGCAGCAGGAGTCAACCACTCCTTTGGCAGGCAGCTCTGCAGGAAGGGCACACAGGAGCTGAAGTAGGCCAGCCGGTTTACCCAGCGTGGGATCTCTCGACCACAAAGGATCTGGTGGAGACGTAAGGGAAGATTGTGAGTTTTTTTTTTACTCCTTTAGGGTCACTCTAAAGCAGTTCTCAATTCCGCTGCTTCTCTTATTTGACACACAAGGATCAGCTCATGGATCTCTCTGTTAACAAGCTAATGATCTGAATCAGGTGTGTTTAAGAGGACAAGGCTGCGTCCGAAATAGTCTACTACTCAGTAGGTGCTGCATTTGAATATAAATGTACTACTATACATACTATATCTGTCATTTTGTCATCATCATGTGACCTACCTGCTCCAGTTACATCACTCCCATTCATGAATTCTCTCACAGTACATCATGGGATAGCATTGTGTCCATCAGATGCACACTTCAGAATCTTGCCGGAAGTAGGCCATCTGGGTACTTCTCGCATACTGTTTTCACATCACATCCTTATAAAATATATCCTAACTGATCAAACTATTTATTATGTTTAAAGTGGCTGACAATAATAAATATTCATAATAAGAATAAATCTGCCACGTTTGTAAACTGTGCAGAGCTGTAGTCGCTTAATTAGGCTTATGTATTTCAATACCAGTCATTATGGTGGTACTTGAAGAGACAATTTTTTCTGAGGTGGTACGTGGTGAAAAAAGTTTGAGAACCACTGATATATATAATAGTATACAAGATCACTAAATTTATTTATCTGAAATAGACCTTTTAAAACTATTTTATATTCCAGAAATTCCAAGAAACGTGAACCCTGCTCTTTCTGACAAAACTAATGAACACTACTGATCAAAAGTTTAAAAATATATTTTTATTATTGTTTTGAAGTTGCTTCTCAGCAAGGATGCATTTATTAGATCAAAAATACAATAAACACAGTAATAAAAATACCTATTTATGATTTTCATGCTTTAATACTGAAATTCAAAAGCAGATTTAGGGTCACACAATCCTTCAGAAGTCATTATAATATTCTGATTTGTTGTTTTGCTGTGAACAATTATCTTAACATTGTCAATATTCAAATATTTTTTCCTGCTTCATAGTTTTGTAGAAACTGACAAATTCAAATAGTTTTTAAGTTCTATGTTTAAAAGAAAATTCAAATTAAAAGCATGTATTTCATTTATTTCAAAAAACGGCTCTTCAATGGGTCTTCACATGAACCAGGTTAATCCAGGTTAATCATGAACAACTCAGTGCGTATGCGCTAGTTGCATTATCGCTGTCTGATTGAGTTCTAATCAAGGTTTATATGCATCAAATACATAACATCTGTGCCAAACATTTCAACTGACGAACATATTAACAATAATACAACTGTATAGCCGAATTAAATGTATGCATTGGCATGTTACAGCCCTAATGAGTATGATTATGTGAAACTCCATATAGATACATATTGCAATGATTTCAGAAACTTACTTAGCGATGCACGCACACATATATGCACAATCCTTAAATACTCTGCTGATTTCGACTCTATAATACCCGTTTTATAACTTTAAACTTCTAGTGATCGTTTAAAATTGTAGTGATTGTTTTTCCCACTCCGTGGTGGATTTTGGCATAGTCCATTTCACATGAGATGGGGGGAGGAGGGGGGTGGAAGAAACCAAGTAGCGGGGGGAATTTTTTCTACAGAAATAATTTATGATTTCTTATGTGGCCTGGTACCAATTGTTCCACGGACCTGTACCGGTCTGCGGCCCGGTGGTTAGGGACCACTGGTTTACAGAATAGACCACTGTTATACAATGACTTATCTAATTACCCTAACTTGCCTAATTAACCTAGTTAAACCTTTAAAATGTCACTTTTAGCTGAATACTAGTATCTTGAAAAATATCTAGTAAAATATGATTTACTGTCATCATGGCAAAGATAAAATAAATAAGTTTTTAGAAATAAGTAATTAAAAACTATTATGCTTAGAAATGTTTTGAAAAAGTCTGCTTTCTCTTAAAGCAGAAATTGAGGGAAATTAAACTAATAATTCAGGAGGGCTAATAATTCAGCATTCAACTGTATGCATGTTTACATTATAAATGTCTTTACTTTCACTAATGAACAATTTAATGTGTCTTTATAAATACATTAAATATATTTCACTGTAAAATATTACTGTATAACATATTCCACAAAAATATGAAGCATCCCAACATTTTTTAACAACACTGACAACAACGATAAATGCTTGAGCAGAAGATGATCATGGAGTAGCGATGCTGAAAATGCAGCTTTAAATCACAGGACTACATTTAATTTCAGTCATTTAAAGTTGCAGTATAATAATAATCATAATAATAGTAATAACAACAACAACAACAACTAGTAGTAGTAGTAATAATAATTACAACAGTCTTGGTCATCCAAATAGGCTTCTTTAAATTTTTTTTTTTATCTTACCGTTCCAGTAGTGTATAAACTTGATTTTGCTTACCTCAGATAGGGCTGAGGAAAAGTGATTGCAGTTCTTGTGCATGAGATGGTAGGCGTTCCCCTTATATTCCTTCCCCATTTCTTCCACAATTCTCTCCACATCCTCTTCTGTGAAGTCTGTGCTCCCCAAAACAATGGCTTCTCTGAGAACCGAGCAGAAAGTGTGAGAGAGGAAGAGGTTTTACAGACGTACGCTTTCAGTCTGATCGGTCGAGAGATTAATATCATGACTCACTTGAATTTGAATGTCTCTCCGAGTTCTGTGGCGTCGCCGGGCGTTATCTCAAATATACCTGAAAAAGGATAAGGATGTCCTCCATAGGCAAATTCTGCAATGAATGAGAAAGCACGATTGAAATGTCTCCACGATATGCTTTTACATAGAGATGTTATCGTAATACTGTAGACATTTGATCATTTGTGTGCACTTTCAAATCTTCCTAGTACAATTTTTCAAAAGATTTAACACACATGCGGTACTGACATGAAATGCAGGAAGCCAGCTGTCAAAAACTGCATGAGAAATAGACTGAAATTCTCTTTCAAATCTACTTTGCCTGTTAAAATACAGAAGCTATATCATTTATTACTTCAATATATATTCAGCCCTCCTATGATATTCAGATATGATATATGATGTTTACCAGAGCAAGAAAATTATTATTTTATTAGAATTTTTTTATTTATTATTCCCAGGTTCTGCTAGTTGCATTTCCTGATTTTTTCATTGCTAATCTTAAGCCAATTATAATCATTTGTTTTGGTTCAATTTGGAATTTCCCCAACCAATGCAGAGCCCAGGGGATTAGAGAGACCGCTCCGACTTGGCCCCACCCAGATCAGAGCAAGAAAATTCTTATTATGAACTATTTCACATTATATATTTTTCACTAGTGAAAGTTATGTATTTTAGTTTGTTTTGAAACTAAAAATAATTTTCTTATTTTTTAAGTTACTACAGTCCATATTTTTAGCCAGCTTTTCTGATTGGCTGTTATCCAATGCCTTGTCTAATTAACCATACCTTTTTAGTTAACCAATAAATTGCATTTTAAGCTGAATGCTTAGTCAAATAATATATTCTGTCATCATGTCATCATTTATTTGTCATCAAATAAAAAAAATAATTATTAAAACTATTATGTTGACAAAAATACTTTAAAAGCATATTACTGAAATAACTTCACACAGCAGCTAATAATTTTGACAGTATAACAATGTAAATTAACATTTATTTATAGCCAATAAACTGTAATTCAGATGCCTGCTATGGTAATATGCGATAGGTCAGATATTTATCTGGCTATTTGAGCCAATGGTGAACTTGGTTGGTCAGTATCTTATGCTGGTGCCAGTAGTGCAATTCAAATCATGTATTACACTGCAGCCTTAGACAGGTTACTCACTGAAGCCAAGCATGGCTGAGTCTGGTCAGTGCCTGGACGGGAGACCACATGGGAAAACGAAGTTGCTGTTGAAAGTGGTGCTAGTGAGGTCAGCAGGAGTTGCTCAACCTGTGGTCGGTGAGAGTCCTAATTCCCCAGTAAAGTGAAGGGGATGCTACAGACCATTTTGAGGGATGTAAACAAAAACAATGGTCCTAACATAATTCCTGTTTTAATTTTTAATTTCTATAGCTTTCGATAATCCAAAAAGAGCCATGTACTGATAAATAACATTATGATGGCTGTTTAAACCATAAGTTATAATTGAATTGCCTCATTACAGTTAAGAAATAGTTTGATAACAACCAGGAAATGTTCATGGGCCAATGACATGATCACATTGAAATGGTCTATACCAGCGGTCACCAACCTTTTGGAAACTGAGAGCTACTTCTTGGGAACCGATATGTGTGAAGGGCTACCAGTTATTAAATCACACATTTTTCTTAATTTACTTTTAACTATCTGTTATTATTAATAATTAATAATACTCATCTATGGGAAGACATTGATCATGTTAATGATTTCTCACAGTAGTTGTCAACAATGATTTAACAAGTTAGATAAATATCAATATGCAACACTTCATTTGCCTGAAAATGTTTTTAAAGTTGTTTTTTTTTACATATAACTTTAAGTAATTTTCAAATTTACACCAATGCAAGTGTGATTTAAAAATAATACCTATAAAAATATTAGATGCATTTTACTTATATGTGGTGCTATGGTGAGCTATTTTTAGAACAGGCCCACGGGCAACTCATGTGAACCTGGCGGGCCATGTTGGTGACCCCTGGTCTACACTGTCAGCGAGCGCCGTCTTCTGAATGAGACGTTAAACTGAGATCCTGACTCTCTGTGGTCATTACAAGAAGTGCCATGGGATTTTTAACCCCGGTGTCCTGGCCAAATTCCCCCCATCAGCCTACTCATCATGGCTTTCCAATTATCCCCATCCATCGAATTGGCTGTATCACTGTCTCTTTACTCCACCAATAGCTGGTGAGTGGTGAGCGCACTGGCGCCGTTTTCCTGTGGCTGCCATCGCATTATCCAAGTGGATGCTACACACTGGTGTTGGTGTGGAGAGACCCCCCTCATGATAGTGAAGTGCTTTGGGTATATGTACACAATAAATGTGCTATATAAATATACATAAGAAATCTACTTAAAAAAAATAAAACGCACATCCACAGATATAAACATAACCTGTAAGGCTGTGTGCTCCATCAGTCATTTTGTTCGCACAGACAACATTCAAGAATGCCAATGCAAACTCTTTAGATCTGCCAAATAAATCATATCCTCTTCTAAATAAACTGGATGCCAATGGAGGCAAAAACTGTACAAAATGTCAAGGTCTTTTCTTGTTGCATCAACAGATCATGATGATGTGAGGTTTAGTCATATTTAGACACCCCCACCCGCTTTCTCTGTTACAGTCATGGAAGTTAAACACTGGATTCTTAAACAGCTTGACTCATTTGTGTCTGAGTCATAACATGAGTCTTACCTCTGCCGTAGATCTCAATTCCTGAGTGAAAGACTCCGATTCCCAGAGAGGAAGTGAACTCATTGATCCAGTACTAGAAGGAAACCAAACAAGTCTCACTCACAAAGTCAAATGGTAAAAGTGCTTAAAACATCGACTAGGCTACTGTTTTGTTCAGAGTTTAGTGGTTACCACCTGGAGGACACACACTTCTCTCTCTGTATGCACTTTCCAAATTAAAAAAAAAAAATTGTGCAATTCTGAGTGCGCTCCACACAGGTGAGTGGGCTTGACAAACCACCTGTAGGACACACTCTCTCGCTTTCCGTAGGCTATAGGAAGAACAAAATTAAATAAATAAAAATTAAAATGTAACTTAAACTTGTAAAAGCATTTACATTAGGGATGCACAATATATTGTAGAATCAATATTATAATGTGCGTGTCCGCAATAGTCACATTGCAGAATATGCAGTGTTGAGTTTGGATTAGCAGCATGGTGGAGCAAAGGTTAGCACAATCGCCTTACAGCAAGTAGGTTGCTGGTTCAAGCCCCGGCTGGGTCAGTTGGCGTTTCTGTGCAGTTTACATGTTCTCCCCATGTTTGCATGAGTTTCTTCGGGTGCTCCGGTTTCCCTCACAAGTCCAAAGACATGCGCTATAGGTGAATTGGGTAAGCTTAATTGTCCGTAGTGTATGTGTGTAAATGAGTGTATATGGGTGTTTCCCCGTGATGGGTCGCAGTTGGAAGAGCACCCGCTGGATAAAGCATATGCTGGATAAGTTGGCGGTTCATTCTGCTGTGGCAACCCCAGATTAATTAAGGAACTAAGCCAAAAAAAAAAAATTAATGGAGTTTGGATTATTATAGTTGACTAGAAATTTGAGAATGAGAGTTGTTGAGTCACTGCAAAGATGAACCAAAACAAAGTGAACTGTTATCCTTTGCATGCGATTAAAAGGCATTTCAAAAAAGTTTAAAAGCATTCGGGCACAAAAATGTACAACATTTGTAACTTTCTACTGAATTATTAATACAATGAAGTCGATGCAGTGTTATTTTACATTTTACATTACGTTTGATTATTGATTTCATTACATGAATACTGATTGACTCTCCGAAAAACCATAAAGTTGTTTGTTCTATTTTTTTCATGGCTTTATTGCATTTATTTTTGCATGCAGTTTGTTTATTTTTTTCATCCTTGATTCACAGCCTTACAAAATCACCACAATCAGTCTAAACTCAAGATTTCTTTTCAAAATAGTGCTATTAAAGGTTCTGTATACAAGTTTTTGACTCTTCTAAAAGCATAAATATACCAATGTTTACAGATATTTAAAAAACATGCCAATTGAACATACATGTTTATCTGAAAAACAATGCTGAAGTTAGATATTCTGCTTTGAAAACGTGTTTTTCCTGCCAGAACGCTGTCTTTGTTTTGGTAATTTTAACCCGCCTAATGCCAGTTTAGCTAATTATATTTTAGTTCCCGGGTTGCCTTGGTGGAAAACAGTATATTTTATTCTTTCAGAAAGGCTCTGAAAGCATGTGTTTGTGACCAAAATGCAACCTCTGGTGGACAGTAGCAGACTCTAAAATGAGACCGATTCAGTTCAACATGAGGTTATTAATTAGTAAATTATATAAATATTACAAACAAACATTAGGTGAGCAGGTTACACTGTAACCTATGAGAAATAAAAGCTGGTTTTAATATATCAACTCGAGGAGTTGGTTAGGACAACTCATTTAAATATGGAAAATATTCTTTCTATCTATAGGCCTGATCATCAGACTCGCTCCTATCATTAATCTGGCAACCTGCACTTGTGTTTGTTTTAATCCAAGAGTGCAATACCTAGTTTAACCACTGGATGTCATACTTATATACTGCACTTTTAAACCATCTGGTAAAATTTTATTCATATTGCAGAAAACCAAAATGTTGCAATGTCAATTTTTTTCAATATCGTGCAGCCCTAATTTACATACTGCTATTCTCTGATGATTTGAAGTGCTTCTTTTATCCTCATTTATCCTATAACCCTAACCCTAACTCTAAATAAACAAATGTAAACGCTCAAATCCACAAAGGCTGTTAACAATAGGTCTTTTCTCAGCAGATTTTGATTCTCCATAATAAACCTTTATTAATTATGAACTTAAAATAGAATCACATATACAGTACTAACAAACAATTATGAGCAGCTACAAGCTTTATTAAAACAGAATATTTAATAAACACCAAAGGGTAAAGGATGTGTAAAACCAAAGTGTCTTTTAAGATGAGCCTGAAAGCAGCATTAATTGCAACGCCTCTGGGCAGCCGTTTTGGGGATCTGAAACTAAAATCTATCATTAGGACTTAATCATGTGACCTGTGCAGAGACCTGGCTTGAAAAAAAATAACGCCAGCTACATTAGCATCTCCTTGTATATATTTCCATCTGCTTCAAACTACAAAAATTTGAATCACATATCAACAGAACAAAACCGAGATATGATCACAAACTGTAAACTGTGGGCACTTGTGATCCATATACTGCACCTGTAGCTGTTTTTCAGGCATTTAAAACCCTCACGTCTCTGTCAGACCAACAATTCGTTGATGTTTACATCTGTCTTGTGTATATTCCTCAGCTATTTTGTCATTAGTGGTGACATTATTGTTCGTAAGTGTTTGCTTTCATATTTTGCTATATTATAATTGGATTTCAAAATTGTCGCATATTTAAATTTTAACTATAAAAATGTCAAAAGATACCATTTAAATTTACAGTTCTCTATTTTCGCAATTTTTCATAAGACTAGTTCCTTTCCTCTGTCCCACCAATCACAGTGAATTACGTTTACTTGTCGTCTTCCCTATGGCTTTGAATTTTTGCTTATATCTTGCAATAAACCTGAAATGTAGTTTTGTCTGGATGGAACCAATAACTAGGCCTATCACGATATCTGTTTTTGTTGTACGATATTTTGCACCAAAATAGATGGTGAAAAGTTATATTTTTGTCCTTTTAAGACCATTTTATGCCACTCATTATTTTATGCCACCAGAATGACAATATAGATGCTGCATCCCAAATGGCACACTATACACTTATGCACTTACACACTCAACAGCATAGTATATGAATGTAGTTCGTCCCAAATGGAACAATAATGTTTTATTTACTAAACAAAATTTCAAAATTTCGTTTGACTGATGACGTTTAACGGTCGCCAATGTAGCACAATAAATGACCAAACTACTAAATAATACCTGCCATGAGCATAACTGCATTCACCATCGGGAGGTGCTATAAATCACTCTCGTAGGTCAATTTTGCTTTCACAATCCAAAATGAATAAAGTAATCCAACATCAACGCCTGAAAGCTCCGCCCTTCCACCACATGAGCAAAGCAGCGGCTGATGAGTGCGTGAAGTGTCCAACATAAAAAAGTGCACTTTCTTTTTAGAGTTTTTCATGTGTTCTTTTTAGAGTTTCAACTCACTAGTTACACTATACGCTTGTTAAGTGGTGACGTGTTTGTGACGTATGTAATACTGTTTCCAGGTCCAAGCCTCCATTCATTTGAGTGGAGAAATCATTCGTTTATGATCACGTTTTATTCCTATCACACATTAAAGTTAATTTTATATAAAATCATAGTGCACACAACAATCTCTTGGCTTGCTGCATAACAAATAACAAAAATTTAACAATTTATAAAAAAATGTGTCACTTTCTGGCCATCGGATATTAGGCATGGACATATATACTGCGATCGTGATTTTCGAAAGCATTAAATCGCTTTGTAAACGTCTATTATTACCATTTCATGAGTCTCCCCATTCAGTTGAATAGAGCGCCTGGACCCGGAAGCACTTAACAAGCGGATTTATACTACAAAATGGCATAGATTAGTGCATAATTATGTGATGTGGGACGCACCTACTATCATCACAATGCAAGAACACTTTCAAAAGAACACATATTATTTTATGTGTTCAGAATATTTGATTTAATTATAGTAATTTTAACAATTTAATAAGGTATTGGTATCAGAATGTAAAAACAAATTAAAAAAAAAAAAAAGTAAAACAAAAGTGCAGGGTAATAAATAACAGAGGCTTCAATATCTGCTACTAGATCTATTTTAAGTCAGACACCTACGTAAAAAAATACTATAGTAAATACTAAAGTGTTTAATCATACTGACACTGACTCCTCCAATAGAGCTAGAGATGTAGCACAATCAGCTAAAATGTTGCTAGAATTGTTTTTTATGTATGGGCGATATATATTGCATCAAAAATGATTGAAGTCAAATGCATGGGTTGTGCTATAAGTCCATAATTTGATTATTGTGACAGGCCTATCAATAAATTTCATCTAATAGTTTTATACGTTATTTGATTTCATCTTTAGAGATATTTCATGAGTCACAAGTAGGACCAACAGAGTCTGTGGACATTTTTTTTTGCTATTTCTGCACATAATTTTGTTAAAGATCTGCAGATTTATGCAGTGATTTTGGGAGTATCATAACTAAAACCTTAATATGAAATAAAAAGTAATACATTTTCAACTTGTATTTAATGTTTATAATGCAAATCCAATTAGATCCACTTTATTTGGTAAAAAAAAGCAAGTCTCTCATTTAATATATCTACTAAAAAGACAGAAAATGTTACTTTACAAACTGTATTGTAAATAATAAATCATATAAATATTTTCATATTAGTCAATTATATTACTAAAATTTATTAAAAAACAACAACAACAACAAAACTGAATAAATGTGTAAATTAATATAAGTAAATAAACGGAATCATTGACGGGCTAAAAATCTGCGCATTTCTGCATACGCAGATTCCATGTGGGCCTAGTCATAAGTCAGCTACATACCAACTAAAACATTCATAATATATTTTAGTTTTTTCAAAGCAAATTCTCTGCAAAATTAAACAAAGTAACATGCGGATCATGTACAAACAGGCAACGTGACGCTTAAAAAAACCTTTATGCTTGCACCCAAACACATCTCATTAACAAGTCTGTTGTTTGAGGACGTATCTGCCAGATGTCCCCTATTGATTATG